CCATCTCTCCCCGCCTACAGTCAACCCTAACCCTGGTGCCCTGTGCGCCCTGACATCCTCGCTTTTGTACAGTTTGGAAATATATATATATGATTGGCCTACCGATATCGTCGGCCCCTTTCTCGCCGACAAGGCTGTTGACTTGGCCGGGGCTGCTGGCGCCCCCGCCCAACAGTCTTTCAATACTGAGTGGTAGCAAGTAAGATCCCACGTTGGTTTAAGGAAGGAAACGTATACCTGCAAGCTCGATTGGTTCTCAGATAGTCTACAACCTAAGAACAAACTCCAACCGACTGGGACAACCACGCGCTATTATATCGAAAGGGACCACAATAATCCAAGTTTAGCCATTCGACATCCAATTATCCTCTTGGCCCTCTTCATAACGGATACACCACTCTTCCTCTCTCCGACCATCCATTGTGTTCGGCCCGTAAATCGTATCCCAGTGCTGACGGGCTGTCGCGGGGATCGGCCAGTTCTGCTTGGGGTCTCGCAAGTAAAACTTGAGCAGATGCCGCTGGAGATCGCCGCCTTCCTTGAAGGGCTCGCGGGCATGCATGATAGCCATGTCGTTGAGAAACACCATATCGCCCTTGTGCCAAGGGAGGGCCACAGCGTTGCGGCTCAGCAGGTACTGCACTGTGTCCATGGCCTCGATCTGGGCGGTTGTGACCGGTGGGAGCGCGCTGTTGCGGGTGCGGCCCTTGAAGCCGGCCATGGGAAAACGAGAGTAGGTGAAGATGACGTGCGGGCTGTTGCGGCCGCCTTCATAATCCTCGTCGTGGGTGTCGCTGACATGGAGCATTGGGCGCACAATGGGCGGGTTTTTGGTATAGTCCGTGAAGCTAAGGCTGTGGTTAGTATAATACCCAGCTGGAAACCCCTTGATGCCGGGCCTGCCCCATGGGCATGGAGAGAGAGAGAGAGAGAGAGAACATAATTACGTGTCCAGAACCCAATGATCGGCAAGGGTTTGCAGTATATCCGTCCGTTTCTCGACCAGCTCGTTGTACAACTGGTAGGCACTTGAAACGTAGGTCTGGCCACCCTCACTCGCCATATCCAGGGAGAACAGGCTGAGAATCTCACAGTTGTCGGTGTGGAATGCCTAAGCTCGGTGCGCGGGCAAGATGGTCAGCGTGAAATGCTCCTGAAAGTTTCTATTTTCTGATCTTCAAGCGCGTCGGAGAGCCCAAGAGGAAAGTAAAGGCAACATTGAACCTACAAGAGGACCATCGGTAAACCCAGGAGATTTGCCGGCGTTGCTGTTCTCCGACTGTCTGGGTGCTGCGTTGACAACATGGCCTAATTACCGTACAGAATTTGAGTCAGATGGACATCGCGCACTCATCGGTCTTGATCCTGGGTCAAACTGACAAAGCACCCTTTTGTGGCTCTTGTCGAGAAAGCCGTGCTGGGGAGCGACATACGCCGCGATGCCGGCGTAGATCACGACGTTCCTTTTTGGGCCGAGTTTTGTGGGATTCAACCCATTAACAACCACAAATCCTCGGCCGTGGTAACATTTGTCCGAAATGGCAGTCAGCCTGGCGGCAAGATTGTCCGGCAACAAGAAGTTCTCCGACGATATATCTGACAGTCCAATGCCGGTCTCTGAGTATTTCGCAAGCATTTGTCAATATGGGTTCTTCGTGCTATCTGACGTGACGGCATGTTCATAAATTGATGAGGTCGGTAAAGATGACTTACCTTCAAAAGATTCGGCCGCAGTTTCGAGTGCCTGGACGTCATGCTCGGAGAGCCTCAGCAGACACTCGTCGTGCATGTTGTTTTGAATCTCCTCCCTTGTCCAGGCGAGGGAGCTTTCAAGGCGTGCGCGGGACGCGATGAACGTGTTGTTCGGGTGGGTTGGCTTGACTCCATAGCGAAACTGGTCGGCAAGATACTTGTCCGTAGGATAATATGTGAAGGATGAAGTCGCCATGGCGAGACTCTCAAGAACAAGGCCCCTGAGGAGCGACTTGATCTGGCTACCCGAGCTCTGGATCGTTCGTGTGATTCCCTAGTTGACGAAGTCGGGGCTTGGATACCAGACGAGTGTGGCTATCTTATACCCCGCTCGTTGGAGAAATGTACGAGGCCTTGCTCCATCCACCCATTGGGAAAGCTGCAGTAACTTCACTTTTTACGACTCTCAAGGACCGGCCTTGTCTGTGTTACACAGCGGTGCGGGCACCAATCTCACCAATACACGCTCCATCATGTGCCCAGACTGGCTGTTTATGTGATGCGGGAACAGTGTCGCAGGCCACGCAGATGCGATTGGGCCGGGTAACTATCTCGTCCTTATCGTGGCCATGATTTTGGCCCAAAACGTATTGATCCTGCGTATGAAAGTATCTGGTAACTAATCACCTGTGTTGGGCGCGCGAGCTCTACGGATGTCAGTACCAAAAGAATTGGCTCCCCGCCTAATTTGGCTTAGGGGATTACGGGGGATTTTCTGCCTGGCAGAACCACTGTACTGCGGAAGGCGGTGAGCTGTTTGTTTTGGTACCGGCTTCCGTATGTATGGTGCGATTGCATATCATAATTGCCCACACTGGAAGTGTCTGGCGGGTGGGCATTGTTCAATGAGAAACGTAATTAGGACGGAGACCACTCAGCAGAGCGTGGGGGTAATTGTCGAACGACCACACAAGACGTCGACAGACAGCTTAGCCCCTTTGTGTAACCCCAACCACACCAGGCAGTCAATCAATTCCCTCGTCGCGGTACCAACCAACCAACCCCTTCCCTTCGTCATCTGCGCCCGACTGACTGCCTATCTAACCTTTGAAACGCAACAAACGGCATTGGCACGGCCTTAGTTCGCCACAGCGTGACGCTCTTGAACAACGGCCACAATGGATTCAAACAGCACTATGGACGATGTAGGTGACGAGAGCCACGGGATTACAGTTGGCTCTGGCTCTCAAGGCCAACCGGAGGCGGAACCCTTGCTCATTTCGGCGCAACACGAGATGTTGGCGGATGAGCCATCGAGGGCGATTAAGCTGGATGATCGGATGAAGACCGTGGGCAGAACATGGCTGCTAGCTGCGGGACCGAGCATTCTCGTGTGGTAAGTACTGCTGGCCTTACTACCGATGCATCCTGTAATTGTCGTCCTCACAGAAGCGGATCTGACTGAAATAATTAGTCTCTTTGCCATTGATTTCGACATGCTCTTCCTGTCGACCAACTACAGCAGGCGTATCGGTGAGTTGCTAATACTCCCACAGCCCCCTATGTGGAACTACCTACTTAAGGTGGGTAATTAAGTCGAGCTTCGCTGACCTTCTGTCTTCTTCATGATTAGCCTCGGACCTCCACGAGCTAGATAACGCTGTGTGGGTTATTCTTGTCGGTTCGATTATGGAAACCGCCAGTAACCCGTTTGTAGGTGGCGACCAGGATATGCCCATGTCTGCCAAAGAACAATGCAGTGGCTAACATGGCTACCTCTTCACTACTTACAGTATTCCAGCGTTGCCGAGTTGCTGGGACGCCGGCGAGCTGCACTACTAGCGGCATTCCTGACAATGCTTGGCTTTCTGTTCTGGTAAGGTCCCTCACACCACCCAGAAGAGATTGGAGAGTTAAAATCGATGTTGACACACAAGTTCTGCCATAGCTCGTTGAGTGGCCAACTTTGGCATCTCATCCTCGCAAGGCTCGTTGTGGGCTCAGGCTGCGCCGGTTTTCCACTCCTCGTGGCTATCATGCTGACTGGTGCGTTCTCTAATAATAATCACGGCAGTTCGACTTCCAGTCTCCAGGGATACCAATTCCAACTGACTAGCGCTGTGCGTTATTAGATACTGTCCCGTTACGAGATTTTGCCCTTTGGCGTAGCTTGATTGTCTGCGCCCAAGCTGTGGGCGATTTGACTGGTGGCCCAGCGGGGTCCACCCTCGCCGAAAAACTCGGCTGGCATGTGTAAGACGGCCTGGTGCCACCCGCCTCGGACCTAGCATGCAGAACTAATCAAATGCTTGGGAATTACTAGGGTCTTTCGACTTGAGTTCATAGTCATGGCCATCGGCCTTGCCCTCGCTTTCTTTACTCTTCATCTCCCCACTGAGCCAGACCAAAGAGAACATACATCGACAAGCAGCGAGGGCTTAGATGGCCTGGGAATAATCCTGATCTTTACAACCATTGCGCTGCCCCTTTTTGCGCTCAATACGGGCGGCACAATCCTTCCATGGAGTCACCCGGTCGTGATCGCGCTGCTGGCTTGCACGCCTTTTGCTGCTGGCGCATGCTACTGGTCACAAACCCGCCGCGGAGCGTCGCCGCTGGTCCGAACCGAGAGCTTCCAGAGCCGCCCGATATTGGCCGTTATGACATGCGTGTTCTTCCTCGTCTACTCGTTTAATGCGGTGAGATAGCCAAACCAACTCGCATAGCCGTGCTCAGTTGAATGCTAATTAACGAGTCGCAGCTTCTGTACAACCTTGGGCTTTACATTGAGGCTCGGTCCTTCAACTCCCCTTCATCTTTTGGGGACTGGGTACTCTCTTGCATTGTCGTCGCACGGCCTTTGGGTGCCGTTCTCTCAGGATTGGCGATCAAGCGGTATCGAGAGCCATGGTGGATGTTGCGAGCCATACTCTTGCTTTACTTTTGCCTGTACCTCCCCATTGCTGCAGGCTTGGTCCGTAAATGCTCCCCTCTTCGATCTCAGTGGGTTTGACCCGTGCTGTCAACTGACGGCTTGGTTTAGGACTCGAACGCCCCGAATATGCACCCTACCTGTTTCTATTGGGCCTCAGTATCGGGTTGTCCGAGAACTGTCTCGTTGTCTCGCTCCTCTCTGCGACGGAGAAGAAAGGTCGGTAATTAATTAGGTCCTACTCATTTTATTATTACATTGTTAGGCGCTGACGGATTTGTATCTAAATATAATTAATAGGTCGACCACCGATTCTGGCCATTTTCAATGTCGTTATTGCCCTCGCAGGTGATATCGGTGTTGGTCTCGCGTTATCTCTTACCCAAGCATTTATTCGCGCTGGCCTAAAGGCTCGTCTTGGTGACACCACAGACACTGCAAAGGTAATTAGGCCGTGTATTTGTTCCACTTCAATGCTCCCAGGTTCCCAGTCTAACCCTCTGTAGATTATTCAACAGGCGGTCAAGAGCCTGGAAAATATCCGCGACTTCCCCCACGACCTGCAATCGAAGGTCATCGACACCTTTATCAGCGCGATCGAGAAAGTATTAGGTCCGTGCCACCCCGTATCCCTTCCCCTGGCATGGATCCTGGTGGCTCACCATTATAAAGTAATCTCATGTGCTGCCTTCTTGATTGGACTCGTTACGGTCCTGCTCACTAGAGTGAATTACGAGGATGGTACGGAACTTGAAGAGTTCAGAGATGGCGAGGATGGCCATTGAAAGGAGGAGGAACTTAACTCGTTGTGCGGCGACAAAAACCTTGGTTTTCTTTCCTATGTGGCAAGGAATCCAAAGAAGATTAAAGCTGGAAATAACTAAAGCACTAAGAATAAGAATAACTAAGGACCAGCCTTACTGTATTGCCCTTCGGGGGAGATAGATGGTCCCAAGGCAAGATGATATTGACCGGCAATGGCAGTCGTGACGGCCGGTCCAGATGCGTCGCTACAGTAATAAATCACTATACAACGCCATTGGGCTAAGCCGTGGAGGTAGGTGTAAGGGGAGTTGGTTATCTGGTAAGACTGGGGCGGGTCTGATCTAATCACTACAGCTGTCCCTCAGCCCAAATTACCCAAATACAGTACCTACATTGCACATTCGTGACAGAAATGGCATACACCGCGGTGTGGTCGCTCTACTTCACGCGACTGGCTGGGCAATTTTTATCTTAGTCCTGGAGCCTTACCTTTCATGAAGCGTCCCCGATTTCCTATTCGGGTAGTCGGAATGGCTCGCTTCTTCGATTGCCCATGCCCGTTTGGGTAATCGGCGACCCTTGGGGGCCACCAACGCACCGCAAGATGCCATCATACCAGCCGTAACGGGTATATTAAACATGGATGGGTTTTCCATCATTTCTGACGCCAAAATTTGGTCGATTCATCATCACACATAATCCTTTTTCCCCGAAAGTAAAACAGCGAAGACGAAAATGACAGTTGAAACTCAGTCTCCAAGACAGCCAGGTGGGGCTGACTGGGAGGATCTCACCCTGTAGGTCATCTCTACCTAACCCTTATTCACTCCTAGGCACTTTGACTAACACATGAAAGAGGCGACCTCGGATTTCTCCTAGGAGAGCCCATAATACCCATCCCAAGAGCTGCGATAAGTGAATGCGACGTTAACCCAACGGGTAACATTGAGTTCTTTGGGATTGGGGCCTGGACCTGGGTTGAGCCTGGCCAAACTGTATCCTCCACAGGCGCCAGTACCGACGAGATCACAATGGTACACGGCTTTCCCCATGGTAATGGCGAAAACACCAGACGAAAATATCTTGGGAAGAGATAGAGTGGAGGGAGAATTGTGAGCAGGAAGAAAAAGAGAAACATCTCGAATCAGAAGCGAGGGAAAACCCCTGGAATGACTGGCACAAGGAGTAGGGAGACAATCAGACAAACTGGAGAGATAGGTGCAATAGTGTGGCCAATATTCGGCGCTCAATCAAAAACCCAAATTTTGGTCGGATCGCATCACTCTCTCTAATTACACCACAGCCGTTGCCAACTGCCAACCTTTTACCATTTCTCGGCCAGCGTCCCGACCGCAGGAGTACGATTTTTGTCATAATTTGTCGTAACTACCTTGTGCAGGACGTTTTCCAGTGACTTTTCTAGTGCCTTCTTCAGTCAGCTTTTCAATGCCCTTTCCAGTGACTTTTCTAGTGAGTTTTCCTGTGAAATTTCCAGTATATTTGTAAAACACAACGTCGAATACCACGCTAACTAACCTATGGAAAACTCATTTCTCTTTTTTCAACGCCCAAATCTCGAGTTTCGCCTCCTCGCCCTCCACCTGGATGATAAAAGAACCATTCAATACAAAGCCGAGTTGCTCATACAACTTCTTCCCCATTGGACTGGCTAGGACTGTTGTATGCACACCTTGATGAGCGGCCAGGTTGATCCCCCATCGGCACAGCTGGGTGCCCGCACCACGGCGGCGAAAGGCAGGGGACGTGCACAGCAGCCAGAGATGGATTTGGTCGTGTCCCAGAGCGCCAAAGAAATCCTGGAATCCTTGCGTCATCCGGCGCGCAAATTCACGGAAGTGGGAAGGGTTGGCGTCATGGCGACGGGGCACGCGGGAGTCGTCGTCGGGTATGCCGAGATCTGTGTGATAGATTTAATAAGTTCTTTCTCTTGCACATGGCCGTAATAGTATATAGGGTTTCGACTCACCTCCACCCTGGTGGGGGATCGTCACGTTCAAATCCCAAACCGACAACGCCACGGGCCGGTTGTCGTTGTCCTCGGCCGTGATCACTACAACGGCATATTTGTCGGGCTGCTCGAGATATTCGCGATATTCTTGGTGGACCCAATAGCGATTGTCCTCGGGGAACTCATGGCGGAATGGAAAGCGGTAATCGAACTCAGGATCGTCGGGGAAACCAGCCTGTGCAACGGTGGTTAGGTCGTCGAGGTCGGCCAGAGTTGCCTTGCGAAGCGTGAGCCGGCGGTCGGGCGGGAACTCTCCACCACCCATTGTGCCAGGCGGTTTCGTCGTGTCTGGTCGACTTAGGGCATGACGTGGAGTTGGAAAACGAGGCGAGGTGGATAAAGATCTAAGAATGGGATTGCGGGCTGCACAGGTATGTAGCCGGGCGTGCGTTTGGGGTGGTCGTGTTTTGTGCTTTTGAGGCGGGCAAAAGGTATTGGGTATTTCCCAGCGCGCCAACAAGCGTGGCGTGTCTTGTGAACAAATGCAACCCCACGTTGCACAAGGTACGAAGCGTAAGCTGTCCGGTGAGAAGGAAGCTGCTGCCCACTTGTCGCCGACTGCCTGATTAGGAAATCGGCGAGCGCCCACCCCGCTGCCGCCTTCTGAGGTGGCCTGGGAGTGATGGGAGTAATGAGCCACCAAACAAATTCTCAGACAACCCTCATTCCGGCCCGGTGTTTCCATAGTTTCTTGCATTGCAACGTCTTCTTTTTTGAGATTCCGATACGCTTCTTTGAGTTGCATGACGTGAGCCAACCGCTGAGCAAGACCCTCACTGGTCATGGAGAATCATTCGTTCCACTCCCAAGTTGCGGGATTTCACGTGCCTCCCGGAAATGACGACGACGTGGGCTATCCAAGCACGATATCAGCTTTTGAGGATGTTACGTCCTTTCCTGTCGACCAGAATGGCTGTTGGTTGGGAGATATTGCCTCTAATATTAGTGTTGGTGACATGTTCATCGACCCCGGACTATTGGAGCCATTAACCTCATCGCAAGCAGCTCTTGTAGCTGCCAGAGCCGCTGACTACGGCGTGATGGGCAATGGGATTCCATGCCAGGTACCGCATCCCATACCGACCTCAAAGTCGAGTCCTATCCGCCAAACCAAGTCAACACGACGAGCAAAGGTGCTGCTCGAAGACAAGGTGAGTGAGACGATCTAATAGAAGTTACGTGATCAGCCATGCGGCCACGCGACCTGGGCTGGACACCTGACTAACCGTCCGCCGAAAAGGACCCTATCACCCGAGTTAAGCGCGACAAAACGGGCATCGTCCAAGGAGCCTTCGTCGCCTTTGGCACGAACCAGCGTATCCGGTCTGCTCCAGATGAGAATGCAAAGGCCCTAACACGCATGACGCGAGCTCGGGGCGCATGCCCCCGTTGCCGACAGCTCAAGCACAGAGTAAGATAAACCCCACGGTTCTCAAGTTTATTTCCTTTCCTGCGTTTGCCGCTCGTTGGCTCATGTCAGCTCATGGTCGCCACGCTGCTGACGAACTGATCTCGCAGTGCAATATGCCCGCAGATCCATTGATGCCCTGCCCAGCGTGCGCTCGGCTATCATCACAGAGCATACTCCAGGCGCCTTGTATTCGTGTTAACCTTCTCGAACTGAACCTACATCGCCGGGGTACGTTCACGTTGCCTTGGGCCGCCGATGTCTTTCTTGTGCTGACCCAAAGGTCTAACAGGGTCGACGCTCAATGACAACCTCGCTACGTGGATGGCGCGAAAGGCTATCCTCGAAGTCCAAGCATCGAATGGCTCGAATGTTGCCATCACTAATGGAGTGTTGGTGCCCGTGCGGAAGACCGTCAGCGTGACCCAAGATCGAGGGATCGAATTCCGTGTTAGCATTTGCAAATTTGTCCCCGAGAGCAACGACGTCACCTACTGGAAATGGGAGGATTCCGAGGGCGTTGAGCGGAAGATGAAGATGCCGCCTTATGCCATTTGTGATATGACAGAGGCGGCTAGAAACATGCATTCAGCCATCATTGCGGGAAAGGAAGAGTACATCAACGGCCTTCTCGATGCTACGAATCCTATCTGCCGCCGGACCTTTGAAGAGGCATTCAAGCACATCGAGCTCCCGGGAGTAGGTCGACTTCAGACTTCTGGCCAGAGTCATACCCCCTCTATTGCCCTGACGTAACCCCTCCTTCAAAGCTTTGCATTTTAGCTAATGGGCTACTTCCAGAACACTCTCGTCTCCAATGCCCTGACCTTTTGGGTCGCTACACGTTTCATCGAGCATCCTTGGCGTGTATGCGAGGGAGAACTCCCTCCCTTTGAGCCCCCATACGAGACCGGGTGCCCGTACAACGGTATCGTGCCAGTGACGCCCATTATGGATACCCAAATCGATGACATCGCGCTGCGTGCGTTGGTGATTCCGCTGGGGCAGCTGGTCCTTCGTGAGCTCGATCAGAAGATACGGCAGCGCAAGCGGGAGAACTGGCCAGATATCTTCCTGACAACATTTATTATCCTGAACAACTTTGGGTTCATCTTTAGTGATGTCATGGCGTACACAAGTCGGCACGGCCTCAAGGTAATTAATTCACGTCTTCCCTTCCCCCCCCGAGCGTCTATATTACCTGAATGACTCTAAGCCAGTTCGGGGCTTACTCTGACATGCTCGATGCAGACACCGACAAGCAGCGCCCCATCCCTCAGCAAAGGCTACTACCACGCGTGCAAAACGATGCTGGTGTACTTCCACTTTGCATGCTCCGGCTCCGCGCCTCTGTCCCTTGAGTTCGCAACTCCACATGCTCCACACCACCTGCTTTCCTTGAGTCAAAAAGCGTACATCCGAGAAATGAAAGAAGAGCTACGGAGGCAGGGTAAACATATAACGGGATGGAAGTCAGAGTCCATGTATTCGGCACCCATGTACTGGTGCCTACAGATGCTGGACAGGGACTGGAAGCCGGATGTCGAGCATCCCGAGCCGATTGATGAGTTTACTGAGGAGGACTTTATGACGTCGTAGAAGGGATATTAAAACATTGGGTAGTCAGTTTGTCTCAGGTTTGTTTTCGTATTGTGTGGACTTTACCGTAACGTGTAAATGCGAGCCTGAATTTATCATTTCTGCGCTGTTGAGCCTGTTCGAAGGGAATCAAAGCAACGGTTGAACGTACCACGACTAACTCTGGTGCTGGTGTGCTCCCTATCATGGGCCAGCCCGATGGGCAAAGGCTTGTATAAGCATGTTAGGTTTGAACTGGACGGGTCCGTTCATTATTCACGATGTTGAGAACCAGGAGGGGCAGCTGGAGATTTGGGAGTTGACGAGAGGGGTTAATTTCTGATGACCTATGGATAACGTTATTAAACAAGGGGGTTATCGTCAGGCAACGTTTTTATAGTCAGCAATTCAAGAATCAATTTTATCATTGGACTGTAAAGTCATGATTTGGATGAACAACTACCGCTTCCTTCTTCTGACCTAATTTAACTCTCATCACTTGTAGAAGACTTAAGGATATCTTACTGAAGCTATCATTAATTATCCTGAACCTACAACAGCCTTCTTGAACTGCGAATCTACACCAAACTACAATATAAAGTTGTGATATCTCATGATATACCTGTTCCCCCCCTCGCTTAAATCGGTTAACGGGCCCGAACAGGCCATCCTCGATGCCTTAGGAAGAACTACACTGCGAATTTCGTGTCGCCATATATTATCTACAAGTCACGCCCGCATGTCTGGTGCGTAAATTAATTATACGGTATGCTCCCCGCGTTCAGCGCGCCTGTTTGTTGTTTGTTTCCGCGTCTTTGCCTGCGTGTGAGAGAAAATATGTGTATGTGTGTGTGAGTGTGAGTGTGATCAGCCCAAGCCGATTCGGGGTCCGGCGCTTAAACGCGTGTGTGTGTCTCTGCAAGTGGAAATATGCGCGCAAAGCGCGATTGGGGGAGTTTTAGATTTGCGATCTACGCTGCTTGGCTGCCCTGTGGAGGAGGCGTTGAGTTGTTGGTGGTCTTGGTGTTGGTTGCACGACACAGTAGTTCCAGCGGGCTGGGCTGGGCTGGGCTGCAGTGTGGTCTGATGCGGTCAGTGCGCTGCGCTGCACTACGCTTGGGGGGGTAGACAATGGAAGCAAACAGTTGGCACAGCAGTGGCCACAGTGCATGGGCGCGTATGTGTGGATGCGTGTTGTGTGTATGGGAGGAAAAGATGGAAAGGTTGTTGGAGGTGGTATTTTTGACGAAAGGGATATGAAAATGAGTTTGTTCCGAAGTTGACGCCCCTGCTGCTGTGCAAGTTGAAAAGGCAAGGCAAGCAAGCCTGACCACCCTGGCCGAATAAAGCGGCCGCATCGTCCCGTCCGTGTATGCGTCCCATGTAGCGCACTGCGGTTGTAGTGTGAGTGAGGACCCTGCGGGTTGGGGTAATTAGCTGTCGGTCGAGAGCAAAAGGTCGGTTGCACAGCATCCCCCTTTTGGGGATCTTTCGGGTTGCTTGAACTCTTGATTTCGGACATCGATAGCTCGATCGAGTTGACATGTTGACATGCCCAGTAACAAGTGCTTGCCCCCCCTTTTTCAGCGCTGGAAGTTGTCCGGAAGCAAGCATCAGCTGTCCCACCTTTTCCCTTTTTCTCTTCCCTCCTACGACATATTTCCTTCTGACTTGATATGCAACCCCAACCCCGGCTTAACTTTGCTGCGTGCAATCTGCGACTTGGGTGCGGCACAGTCGCTGGTGCTCAGTGTTTCGGAAGTGTGTGTTGGTGGTGGTGGGAGTGCCAGCCCCATGGGGGCTGCTTCCGAGTGGCTGATGGGCAGCCAACGCGCGCTAGCAGTTCTCCGATCATCAACGGCATCGCTATTACTAGATTGGATATTTTCCGTTTTGGGTCGTCATCCACATTGCGTCAGTGAGCTTTGGGTTTGCGGTCTGGTTTGTGTGACGGGCAACTGAATTGGATGACGAATTCGATATCGTGATTCAATGTATCAAAGTGTCAAATCATCACGAGGATGAGATATCGGCAGCTGCTCCCGGCCCGGCGATTCCCCGGATCCACCGAATTTGCCGGAAAGACCCACTTCTTCCCCGATGTGGGACAGAAGTCCCGGACAGATCGGAGGATCGGGGGGACCGGGGTGGAACTGGAACGCCAAATCCCTTTTTTAGCTCTCTCAAAAGTATCCAAAACGAAGCGAGGGGGCGAAGCCGAGCGGGAGGATCAAACAGAGTGCTTGCATCATGTATGTAGCTACAACTTTTGCTGTGCCACACAGCGCATTTTTCCCAAGCCAGCCGGATTGAGCCGCTTTGAAAAAGAAAAACCCTGGTCGGGGTTTGGGGTTGGGAAGGATTTCCCGGATTAATCAGATCGGCTCGAGTAACATCAGATGACAGGGGTGACGAGGTTCAGAGATGGGAGTTGGGACGACAACGACCTGAGAATCGGGCTGGGGGATGTACTTTTAGCTCGTAGAATTGAGCAACGAAAAGATGGATTTCAGGATGATTTTAAGATCGAATACGAAGCATGAATCGAGATAGTAATGAGAGACAAAATCAATTGGTGTAAAACTTTGTACAATGAAAAAGAAAGTTTGATGAAAGGATATGTCCCTATGATGCAAAGCCCTTCCCCCTCCCTACCTTATGCAGTGATGCCAGTGAAATCTAACCCCCCTGTTTCTGTCCTCCCGCGAGGTCCCGTCTGTCCAAGGAGTGTGCTTTAAAACCCAACCCCAAGATCTCTGCTTCCCCCAATGAGCGGCGGTACTTAGAATGTCGCAATGAAAAGAAAGGTGGTGGAAAAACGAAAGCCATATCCTGCAACAGTGTTAGTGAAGAGTGATGAAACTGGTGAAGTCAAGAGTGCGTGCTCAAAAAGAGGAGTCAATATCTATATTCGAAGGTGCCAAATGGTCAAGTGTCCAGGTATCGTATGTTCATGAGTTGTATGCCATGAGAGTGTATACTAGAAGAATTGTATACTGTAAAATCAGAGTACATTTTCGTTCCGTCCGTCCCCCCTTTCTCCTTAAACTTCCCTTGCCGCTTTTCTTATATTACTTGTAGTTGACGTACTGGAACAGCTGGGCGCACTTGCTGCAGAAGCCTACCAGTGCCGGGGAGAGGTTGACAACCTTGCCCGAGTTGTAGCGTAGGTAGTAGACGCAGGGACTGTAAACGTGACGGCGGTACTTTTGGCACGAGTAGGCCATCTTGTGCAGCTCGTGGTGGCCGTAGTCAGTGTAAGTGGCGCGTTCCCAGTGGCATATGTTGGACAACCTCGGCCCAGCTGCGACTGAAGCGCGGCAGTGGCACTGTACAACCTACCATCAAAAGATCAATCAATCAAAAGCCACTAACCATCGTTCCCCCTAAGTTCCAACCGGAGAGACCAACGAATGCCCGGGCACGGCACATATGCGCGAGTGACAAAAGTGCGTGGGTACCATGGGCCATAGCAAGCAGGTTTCATGGGCCCTATTTAAGCTAGGGGATTCTATAGTTATAACTGATCTAGGCAGGGCTATATCTGAACTTTTTATCCTAGAAGTACTAACTTAGTGTGACGGATCGCCTCTCAACCACACTCTGAAAGGGTTCACTGAAGGTATGACGTAAGGGTTGTAATCCGGTGAAGCCAAAGGGTTTACAATAAGACAATGATCTGGTCTCAATGTTCACAGCGTCGTGCAAGTTGCAATGAACAAGTTGTATTGCTTACTGGAGAACTCCCAGAGTCCTTTAGAACGAGTGACTATATATTACCTAGATTACTATTCTTCCCTAGTAATCCCTGGATTGGCTTACCTAGGTTATAGTATAATCTTAGTAATCTATAATACTAGATTATAATGTTAAGTCTAGTCCTAATTATAATCCTATTTTAATTAGCTATTTAATAATTAGCTATTAGTCTATTCTATATTCTTGTCAAGGGCTCAGGCCTAGGGCCATGCCCTAGCAAGGCCTTGGCCATGAGCAGTAGTGTTGGATTGTGGCCGATGGCCTTGGGTTGACGTGGCGGGGCTGTCCCGGACCCGGCTCGGAGGTGGAGCCCGAGGTGCCCGACCTCCGAGCGCGCACATCAGGGGGGGGAGGGATATCAGGATATAAGGAGCCCTGGTTAAGGCACAACCCCAAGTAGTTCTCTTTCTGCAAGCTTTCTCAATAACATAATCAACGCCTATCTGTATTCCACCATAGGGCCAGTTTCTCACATATACTTTAAAAGGGTTTACTAAAGATATAACGTAAGGGTTATAATCCGGTAAAGCTAAAAGGTTTATAACAAGATAATGATTTAGTCTTAATGTTTACAGCGTCGTACAGGTTATAATGAACAAGTTGTATTGCTTACTGGAGAACTCCCGGAGTCCTCCAGGTTATTCCTATTTATCTATCTACTGTAGGGGGGCATCTTGATACCTTCGTATATACCTTGATTCCTGGATCGAAGAGTATCCTCCTGAGCCCATGATCCAGGATCATAGGCGTCGTGCCCTGATCTCATGATCCACCCGTGATTGGTCAGGACCGGATCGCGAGCTTCGCTCTCGATCCTGTTCTGCCAATGATACTTTCTTCGTGCTGATTGGCCTGTCCATGGCTGTCGTGCCCCACCGGTTCCTGCCGGTGGTCACATCCGTGACAAAACCCCAGAACCCCCCACTTCCTAAAGACAAGACAAAAGGTCACAACCGGATCAATCAAGCCCGAAATGAAAACCACACAGTCCACAAACGCGGACGCGTCCAATTGGGATATGCCCCCTCCATCCCAATCCCACTTCGCGCAGTTCGCCAACTTCGCCCCGGACGACGGCGCCTCCTTCGAAGACGAATTCAAACGTCTCGCCTCGTCACAGAATTGGGTCCCCGGTTCGCAACAGTATACACGCCAGCGCACCATCGCCATTCGCGAGGAACTCACGCTGCACTACTTCACTGCACCGGAAGCTCTACCAGGGTCTCAATCGCGACAGCAGGGGGTAGGGGACGGGGAAGAGGAGGACGAGGACGACGAGGACGACGATGACGACACAGAGGAGGAGGAGGAGGAGGAGGAGGAAAATACAAGCGACAACCAAGATCCAACAGCACCACCACCATCATCCCAGCCCCGGCCCCGGACCAAGACCAAAACCAAGACCCAAACCCAACCCCCCATCCTCACACACGAACAACGCATCCTCCAAGGCTACCAATCCCTCTGTCTCGAAGTCGGACTCCCACCACCCGACACCATCAAAGAATGTAAACACGACCTCAAAAACACACTCGTCAACATTATCGACTTGATTGATGTCCGACGAGTAGTGGGCCTAGGCGACGGGGAGAAGAAGACGAGAGTCAAAGTGTGGGATGATTTTGAGGCGTTTAGGGACTATACATTGCAAGATGAACACCGTATTGACAGGGAGGAGGCGAAGCGGGGCGATGGTATTCTGGCGTCGTTGTTGCAGCGGCTTTATGTGCCGGATCGGAAGGGGAAGGGGAAGAGATGGGGTAGGGGACGGGGGAAAAATGAGAGTGTGGGTGTGTCGAAAACGGTCTCGGGGAGGGTGACGAAGGGTGGGAATCGCCGGACATGAGGCAATGAGGAATCTGCTGTGGTAGGACTGTTCGGAGAGCGGGTGGGTATGTACAGATGTTGGTTTCTATGTAACGTATTAAGATACCCGTGTGAGAACACATCAATTTGTAAATATAAACAGAAGGTTCTTTTATGTACAGATCTTTCCTTTTTCTTGAAAATGTAGGAAAAGCAGGAAGACAGAAAACAAGTATGGACAAGTTGAAGTCGGGTGGATACCTTCCACCTAATTATTGACCACCATCTGCGACAACTAGTGCCGAACCGGCTAGCCCCTTTCTCTAGTTGTTAGGCCCGTGAAGAATCCAAGACAGGTTGAACCGCCGCCAAGTAATCGAGCGGTATGAGTTCTTGCCGCCCTTGTCGTTGTAGAGATCGTTCTCCACCAACGCGCCAATCTTGAAATCGGGCGTCTTGCACATGCTCGAATACCCGCCCTGGTTGCCCACCCCGGACACGGATGCATCGGACAGCTTGCGGCCGTAGTTGAACTTGGCCGCGTTATCGTCGTAGCTGATGCGCACCCGCATGGCCAACCGGCTGTCGGCGCTGGCAGAGTTCAGGAAGATGGTGCGCGCCGGCCCGTTAGCATCCTTGGTGTTGTACAGCAGTACCGAACCCTCGCACCGCGGGTCGGGCAGACCGGTGTCGGAGGAGAAGGAGCCGAAGCCGGAGAGCGTGCCGCGCGCCACCCTCCGGTAAGTGGACTGCGTCGAGCTGGGGCGGTCGTTGCGGTAGAGCTTGCCGTCGGGGGTCTGAGCGATGGTGGCTTCCGATCCAGCCCCCGAGAGGATCTGCTTGGTCCAAGTGCGGTTGCCGGCGGGGCCGGTGCCGATGATGTTGCGGCCTTGAGCGGGGATGACAAGTTCGCCGGTGGTCAGTTTGATGCCGTTGCCGGGGCCGACGGCGTCCCAGGCCTGGCCGTCCGGGGTCAGAGTCTTGGTGAGATCCTGGGGCTTGGACCACGTAGCGCCGTCGTCGGTGCTCTGCGTCAAGTAGAGATGGCGACGGCCTTCCCAGGTGCTGTCGATCTTCTTGGTAACGGTACCGTCGGGGAGAACGTCATTGCCCTTCTGGCTGTATGCACCACTGTTCCAGGACAGGAAAAGGTAGATGGTGTTGCCATCCACCACAGCGGTAGGGTTACCCCAGGTACCGTCGCCAGAGCCGACGACCTCCTTGAGGCCCTCCCAATCTCCCGCCGTCTTACCGCCGCTGGTGGTGGTCTTGGTGCGCTTGTAGACTAGGTTGATGTCGCCAAAGTCCCGGTTGTCGTGGCGGCGGCCTTCGGCAAAGGCGAGAATCCGGCCGGTGGCCGTGCGGACGACGGCCGGGATACGGAACGAGTGGAAGCCAATGCCGGTGGAAAGCTTGTCGGGCGAAGCCATGTTGGCGCTGCGGAACAAGACAAACTCCTCGTGGGTGGGTGCGGCGTCATAGGCCGGGTCGGCAACATTAGCCTGCGCAAAGGGAGCGACCAACGCCCAAAGGGCGAGGTTCTGTAGCCAACGCATGGTTGTGCTTGGTAAAAAAAAAAAAAAAAAACGAAGAAAAAAGGGAAGTCGTGTGAGTGTGTGTCTTTCTCAGCACTTCAACCAAACGCCGCGGTCTCCATGGTTCTTATGGATTATTCTTCGCCTCCAGGACAAAAATATCCATCATGGTGGTGGCGTTGAGCCCGATTCCGCCGGCTTACTAGGGCGCTTTCTCTCCGAACAGCCGAGGTGATTTGTATCAGCCGTTGACGTGTGATGCGGTTGTCAATCGGGAAAGTCGATAAGGACAAGGTCGCACAGAAACGACATGGACCCCTGCGAGGAAATCGAGGTCTGTTGCGAAAGCCACTGAGAGGGAGAGATGCCCGCACGTGGGACTGGCCTTTTCACGGAAATTTTGGGAGGTCGGATCGAGGCGCATGCCCTGGGCTGACAAGTTGACCCGGAGTCCCGGACAATCGCATTTGGTCGCTTTGGATGTCCACTATTTTTGGAAATTCCCCAGCTTTTGCCGCAACGGATCGCTGCAGGGGGAAGTGGGTCTCGGATTTAAAGCGACTTGGGGGCCCTCAATGTTCGGTATTTATCACGTGAGAACGCGCAAGAGACGTCTCCACACACGACTTCCAATGGCCGTCGCGCTTTCCAAAGTTCCCGAAGCGCGGCAAGCCGACATTCGACAACCTGACATCCGTGGTCTAGCCCACCGGTCCAGTGGGGTGTTTCTTGAACCTGGAAAAGATGCAGTTTGCTTCCCGAATTGCTCAACCAAGTCCTGTTTTTTTGTTTTTGATTTGACAATCCTCAACCTCGCGTCAACGCGTTGTGCGTGTTGAGGTCCCTGTTCATCGAACATGCCTCCTCCTCCACGAGCCCCAACAACGTCAAAGCACGCAATTCTCAAGGGTCTCAACGATGCCCAACGCCGTGCAGTTACCTCGGATTCCGACACGGTTGCCATCCTGGCTGGCCCAGGGAGCGGCAAGACCCACACACTGACAGCCCGAGTGGTCTGGCTCATCGATCACAAGGGTATTCGCCCAGAGGATGTCATCGTCGCAACCTTCACTGTAAAGGCAGCTCGAGAAATGAAGGACCGCATCAGCAAAGTTCTCGGCAACAACAGGGAGACCAAGCTCATTCTCGGCACCTTCCATAGCATTGCACGACGCTATCTTGCTGCGTATGGACGGCACATTGGCCTCAGCCAGTCTTTTGGCATTGCCGATAGCGACGATTCCAACAAGATCATCGGGCGTATTTGCAAGAGACTGCAGTTGGCCGTTGATCCATCTGGGGCACGGGCGTGGATCAGCAAGCAGAAAGCCAAGGGCACTGAGGCTACTTCTAAGGCATCCCGAAAAGAGGCCGGCAAAGTCGATGGGCTCCAAGAGCTCGAAACTTGTTACCGCGAGTATCAGAAACAACTCAAGGCTTCAAACCTCCTGGATTACGACGACCTCCTCGTTAGTTGCGTGGAGCTCCTCCAAAAGTTTCCGGCCTGTGTTTCCAACGTGCAGGCAGTGCTCATTGATGAATACCAAGACACAAACGGGATCCAGTATGATCTTATGAAGCTCTTTGCCCAACAGCGGAAAAGGATCACTACCGTCGGTGACCCGGATCAGAGCATTTACGGCTGGCGATCCGCCGAAATCAGAAACCTGTGGAAGCTGCTCCGAGAATTTCCCAAGACTGATGAGGTTTCTTTGGAGCAGAATTACCGTTCATCGCAAGCGATCCTTGACTTGTCATTAGAGGTGATCAAGCAGGACCAGAAGCGGTACAAGAAAGTGCTGAAGCCGACCCACAATAGAGGGTCTCGGCCGGTCCTTCGTCGGTTGAAGAGTCCCTCAACCGAGGCGGACTGGGTCGTGTCGGAAATCAGGCGAGCGCTCGTAATGTCGGGGGCTATGTTGACCCACGATGACGTGGCTATCTTGTTGCGCTCGGCGGCTTTGTCGAGGCACCTGGAATCATCCCTCGGGAAAGCCGGTATCCCCTACAGGATGATAGGCGGCTTCAAGTTCTATGACCGCGAGGAGATCAAGGTCTTGATCAACTATCTACGCGTGATTCACCAGCCAGAAAATAATGATGCCCTCGCGCGGATTATGAATGTCCCGAAACGAGGCATTGGCGAAGTCACCGTCAAACGACTGCTTGAGGAGGCCGAGACCTCATCGCTGAGCCTTTGGTCCGTCTTGTCCAAGCATTGCCGCGGAGACCGCACGGCAGAAACGAAGATCACAAAGCACGCCGAGCAGCAAATCAGTGGCAACCTCCTCCGCCCACTTCGCGAGATCCAGGCGAAGGTCCAAGAGGGTCCGGGGTTCGGGCTCGTAGATACAATCCAGCACCTACTAACAAAACTCAATTTTGAGGAGCACCTTAAGAGGGATCACCGTGATCCCGAGGATGCCGCCCAGCGGTGGGCGAACGTGCAAGAATTTCTTGCTCTGGCTGCCGAATTCGCTCGCGACCTCGAACTTTCTGACGAAGACGCTCTCCCAGAGATTGACGGCCTCGTGCAGACCAAGGACGCCGAAGTACTTCCCCGCTTTCTAGCCAACGTATCCCTTGCATCGGATGCGCAGACAAAGGGCGACGGAGAAGAGAGCAAGCCGGTTGTCACAATATCGACCATACATGCAGCAAAGGGTCTTGAATGGCCCGTCGTCTTTGTCCCCGCAGTCTACGACGGATCCATACCCCACGTACGATCCGAAGATGGCGACGAAGAACGAAGGCTGCTCTATGTGGCCATGACGAGAGCCCAGAGCCTGCTCTATCTCAGTTTTCCGGTGTTCGGCGGAAAGGGTGACGGCGAACGGAACAAGCTGTCGCCCTTCATCGACCCCGTAAGTCGCTATTTTCTCAACAAAGGGCCGTGTTTTGACCGGCCGGTCATGAGCGAAATCGCCAAGGTTCTCCGCCGCCAACTACCGCCAGATGAAGATATCTACAAAGGCCTTCCAAACACGATGACTATGGAGGACAACATGTTCCCCGTCGATCCGGAGGCGACGAACGCGGAGATAGGGCCGAGGGCCGGACTCCAAGGGGGGGATGCATCGCGAGCGAAGAGACAGAGGTTGCATGGCCCGCCAGGTAACTCGGAAGCAGGCGAGGAGGCCCCTTGGAAACAATATAGCACCACCATGGAGAAGGCTTCAACTTTCACGGTGAAGTCCCTCCCCGGGTTCGTCAATCTCGGGGCTCATCAAGCCGCCATCACCGCTGCGAACGCCGAAGTTTTGGCAGCTCAAAGAGTTGAAAAGACGAAGCCACCCGCAAACAAACTGCCTTCGAACCAAAAGAGTATCATGGGATTCGTCAAGACCGCGGATGGGGCTCCTCGTACAACCGCCGGGCAGTCCGCGATGCCGCCCCCTACCAATCCCCAGTTTTTAGGAAACACGACCAGCAATCAGCCTCAAGGAGCTCCGACGTCACCCGCGATTTCTCCGGCCCTCGCCGGGCACAACTTAGCGACAGGCAAGGTGATGGCCAGGCCGTCCGCCGCCAAAGAGCCGGAAACAGCCAAGCGGAAACAATACCCCTGCTTCAGTTCCTCGCCGCCCCGCGAGACCGCCTCAAACGATGCTAGCGGAAACGGGGAAAATGATGCAGAGTCGGACGACGATAATGGGCCGCCGGCGGAACCCGCGAGAGCGGCGGCCTGTCTGCACGCGACAACTTGGGCAGTCACCACCAGACTCACCGCGGGGATTAGGCGACCCCAAGGACTGGGCCGGAGGAATAATGCACCGAATGAGAGACTTCGTCAACCATTCAAACCGTTGACCATGGGCCGGCCAGGTGGGCGGCCGTGATGAACTTTTATGGGATATGCACTATGAACACATAATTTACACACAATATGAACACAAAACTTTCTCGGAGTGGTTGTTGCGCTGAAAATCGTGCTTGCATCCGGTTTCTAGCTTGTATGCTTATTCTCTTGCTGACATGTGGGGAAAGATGTTGGGGCATTTCGTCAAGACCCACCCGGCCTGTCCCGGCATTCGGACTCCCAATTTCCTAATCGGGTAATCCAACCATGAGACATGAGGCCTCGAAGGCATGATAAAAGCTCGTCTCTCACCCATAATGTACTCTCTCATCATCTCAGCATCCCAATTCATTCTCCTCCTCTACACACGGCTTTGATCGGTGCCAATAAATCCCAACACCAGCTGCCAAATACACTTCACAAATCTCTACCATCATCACTTATACCACTATAACAACAACAACCACCACCACCAACAACAACAACCATGGCCGCCCTCCGCATCCGCACCCCAACCCTCCAAACCCTCCTCACCACCCGCGCCATCCCAACCATCCCTCGCCGCGCCTTCCACCCCCAACCCTTCAACAACACCTTCTCCACCACCCACATCGCCCGCAACACCAGCACCAGCACCAACGCCAACGCCAACGCCAACGCCAACGCTAACGGAACCTCCACCTTCTCCCTCAAAACCCTCGTGCCCAACCCGCGCACGCGTCAGGCTGTCATTGCGGGACTGGTGCTGATGACGGGGGTGGAGACGTACATGTTTGTGCAGTACTGGCCGCGGATTAAGGGGTGGGTTGGGTTTGGAGAGGGGAGGAAGCAGTGAATAGATGGTGTGAGGGAAAGGTACCTAGGGTGTCGGATGTCTTGGTTGTATGGGTAGTATGCTACGATAACACGCCTCTCTCTCTCTCTCTCTCTCTCTCTCTCTCTCTCTCTCTCTCTCTCTCTGTCGGTCGTTGGCTTGGTTTGGTCAATGTGGTAACTATGGGTATGGGGGGAGTACGATGTGAGTTAAAGGGGGCGCTTAAGGGGGGGTTATAGGGCGAAAATACTCTTCTCATGGATAGTTAATCTGGGCGTTGTCTACACAGTAAGATACCAAGGAAGACATGTGTAAGGCATTTAAATGGATGGAATATTTTACACCAATTGGCTATTAGCTGCTGGTCCATCACTCAGCTTAATTCGGGTCGAGTCGGAGAGGCTGCCGGGCTAAAAATGCGGGTCTGAGCACTCGACGGGCGGATGTACCATTTACTCCCAATTTCCTAATCGGGTAATCCAACCATGAAACATTGCGCCTCGAAGGATGATAAAGCGCGTCTTTTGCCCACAATCTACTCTTTTTACTCTCCCATTATTATAGCATCTTAGTCTATCTAGTCTCAAGCTACTTAAGGCCTTGATAGTTGCCGATAAATACCAACAACCGTTCCAACCATATTATCACAAATCCTTGCCAATACCATTTACACCATTTATACCACCACAACACCAATACAATAACAACACCAAACCAACACCAACAACCATGGCCGCCGCCCTCCACATCCGCATCCCAACCCTCCAAACCCTCCCGCTCCCATCCATCATCCTCCGCTGCACAACCCTCAACCCCCAACCCTTCAAAACCTCCCCCTCCCCCTTCTCAACAACCCGCATCACCCGCAACACCAACACCAACACCAACACCAGCAGCACTGGCGCCAGCGCCAACGGGAGGACCAACGCCAACGGAAATGGAGACGTCAATGCGAACGGAAACCCCTCCTACCCGAAATTCTCCCTGAAGAGTATTGTGCCCAACCCGCGGATGCGCAAGGCGATTATGGCGGGGTTGGTGGTGATGGCGGGGATGGAGGGGTATATGTGGGTGACGTATTGGCCGCAGATTATGGGGTGGGTTGGGTATGGGGGGGAGGAGAAGAAGGAGTGAAAGTTTGAGGGAGTGAGAGGATGAGAGAGTGGGAGGATCGGGGAGTGAAAGTGTGAAAGGACGAGGGATAAAGGACCAAGGATGGTTATGGGAGGGCGAGGTGGTGGTAGATGGTTCAAAGAGCTGGTGGAGGAATAAAAGCGCAGGAAATAAGTACGGGAGGGCTGGGATTTAATTGGAGTTTTTTTGCTTAACGGTCAAGGGCTAAGCTGGAATGTCTGGTTGTACATGCGATAAAACGCCTCTCTTTTTATCGGGTTTGACTGAGTTTAGTCAACGGTGGTGTCTGGGGAAAAGGATATGATGGGCGCCCAAGGGGATTCTAGGGGAAGGGGGTCAGGGGGTGAAAATGCTTCTCTCGTGGATGATCAGGGTGTTCTATCTACCAAGGAAGACGTGGCTTTGGGTTAGTCTCGGAATGTACAAATGCCTATCTCTTGTCTATCAAATCATTAACACCACCTTTATCAAGTTCCTCCTGAACATTTGATGATTAATGTCAGAGGGTGACTGTCTAGAAATACTAGGTGATTCCAAGTTTGATGTTTCCGATATAAACCAACTTTCCAGCCACCATGAACTTGAACTTCCCTTAGAATACAGGCACTCCTTATCAGATGCCTACCCTGAACTGCCCATCCCAAAATGCAAACTGACCAAGCAAGCAAGCACACCCGCCCCTAAACCCACTCACTCCCAACAACCCAAAACCGCACTTTCCCTCCCACCCTATATATACCCAATCCCGCAGCAAAACAGTCACCATCTCCTCCCAATGCGCCAAACAATCGCTGTTTGGCGCAGCGGCATTGGGAGGAGCATCTCGCCGGTGCCGTCGTAAATCGAAGTGGCCCCGGGTTCGATTCCCGGGGCCAGCGAAGAAAAATCTTTCCCACCGACCGAGAAAGATTTTCGTAACCACCAACCGATATCCCTCCGGATGGGGATAAGCGTTTGGTGGTGAGCTTTTTGGGTGTTTTTTTCTTCTTTTTTCGTTTGGTTTCTTTTTTTTTGGGTCTTGCCTTTTGCTTGTATGATGGAGGTGGGCTGTTTTTTGGTGGTTTGTTACGCTCTTTTCATGGTCAGTAGAGGATACATTCTCAAGGGTCGTAATGGGCATGTTTTATTTGTGACGATAGACAGACAAGGCGATAGGCAACGGATTCAATGTCAAGAAAATTAGGTAGATACTCGTCACAGGTAAAGTATACAAAACTGTGCCAACAGGTTAGGGTTTCAAGCGTAGAACAGCGTGTTACGTGGTGGCCCGAGACAGTCCGCCGACTGATGGGCACAGTAACGAAGGCAAGAGGCCACTGCCATAAATCTCACAATGATCCATCCAAACCACAAACGTAAAGCCACCACAAGCCGAGTATTAAGTACTTATTAGAATATAGAGAATTACCTATGCACCGTCCTCCGACATCATCATAAGCGCGCAAAAATATAAATAACATCCTACACCGCCAAACCCACGCCTGCCTCGCTGTAACCGCAAGCAACATCACACAGACATGACAAGTAAGACATGGAAGCGGGGGAAACATAAGAAAAGAGAAATTGTAGAATAGAAAGCAACGCCTCGCCCTTGTGTACCACCCCCCCATCGGCAATGCAAAAGAGCCATCATGTTTCCTTCCTGCCTTCTCCTTTCCATATTTTCACCGCACCCCTACTTGGCTTCGTCTTTCCCGTGTCTCCGTCAACCACGATAGTGACCAAAGAAGGGTCTTCATTAATTTACAACCGCAGTTCCCGAACGATTTGCTCCGCCATGGCCTTGTATTCCCACGTGTTACCCCCCACCCGCTTGAACTGCACGCCGTGCAGACTGACGATGGGGACCTTGACAATGAGGATCTCAAACCGGATCTCACCATCCACCACGCGCCTGGACTCACGCTGCCCGGCATCGGTACCATTGCCGCCAGGTGAGTAGGCGCGCGTGTTGGAATGCGAGCGCGAGTGCGAATGGTACCGCTCACGATCCTCTTCGGCAATGCTTGGCGCATGCGAGCAGCTGAAACCGCCCTTGATCTCAGTGAAGTCGACGCCGAGAAGCTTGAGCACTCGCTTGATGTCGGCACGGATCTCGGGCAACGGCTTGGTCGACGTGGTTGACACACTGAAGATACCCTTGAGGAAAACGGGCTTGGCGAGGTCGGGATCCTCGGGTTCAAGCCGCTCGTGTGAGCCACCGCTGGTCTCACCGCCCTCGGCTTCGAGGCCGAGCTCGGCGTCGGTCTCCTCCCGGACGGGCGGCTCCTGAAGGTGTGGTGTCTTGGGAGGCTCAAGTTGGTCGCGCTCAGCTTCGCGCTTGGCGCGGCGCGCCTGGATGCTCTCCCGACGGGCATGGCCGAGTGACTTAGCGCGCATCGAGACGGACTTTTGCATAAGGCCGCTTGTCCTAGCCTCGGGCGTCTCTTTCCTCCGGTCACGCGTGCTGAGCCTCCTGAGGAGAGACACCGGGCCGTTGCCCTTCTTCTGCGGCACCATGTCGGGAGAGAGTAAGCCATTTTGGACCGTTTCCCTAACCTGATCCTCACTGTGTGACCTTGCCCTCTGCCGCGATCGGCCAGCCTCGGTGTGTGCCGGCTTTGGCGGGACGATTTCTGCGAGGGAGTGTTTCTCCTTTGGCCGCGGGATGGGCGATGACGGAACAGCGAGGGGTTGGTTTTGTTGCGGGGACGGCGGAACTTGCACTTTCAATGGCATCGCCGGTTGAGTAGAGGCGGCTTCTTGTCGATCACGTTCAATCCTCTCTCGCACGAGGTAGTAAATGGACACCATGGGGTCAAACGCATTGAGCGGATCTTCGCCAAGGGCCAAACCGTCAGAGCTGCCGTTAGTGAGCGTGTCCTTGCTGGTGACCGAATTTCTCCTCTTGTAGAAATCGAAGCCGAAACCACGTTTCTTCTCGACATCCTTCAGGGTTGGTTGTGGCAGCTCCTTCTCTTTCTCCCAGCGCCGAACCGCTGATTGGTATTTGGGCGAGGAAATCTTCTTTGTCAACTCGTCCCGGATGAAGTCTGGCGGGCCGAACTTGAATCCCGTCATGTGAGTGATGACGTCCTCATCAAGTGGTAACCGGAGGGGTTCGCGTTGGGGAAGGTAATTCTCCGGTGGGCCATTGTACCCCTTGAGCATCCATGGGTGGTTCATGACCTCGTGCATCGTCGCGCGCTGCCTCGGGTCCGTCACAAGCATTCGGGAGATCAAGTGTTTGCACTCTGGACACCGGTATTAGTATGGACCCAAACGTTGCACAAGCACAGATAACAGCAGATAACGTACCGCCAGATAACCAGTTAGGATAGTCCACAACGCCCTTCTTGATCTTCTGGTGGAGAGCGGGCATGTACTGGTCGTCAAACGGCACCTTTCCGCAGACCAACACAAACAAAACCACGCCAAAACTCCAGACATCCACCTCTGGTCCCGTGTAAGGCCTTGCTTGCAGCAGCTCGGGGGCGGCAAAGTAAAGACTGCCGCAATACGTCTTGAGTTTCCTGTCTTCGTCTGGTGAGAACAAGTTGCTCAAGCCAAAATCAATGATCTTGATGTCTCCCGTCTTGCTGATCAGGATGTTCTCGATTTTGAGATCGCGATGGACGATACTGTTCCGGTGGCAATAGTCGACTGCGCTCGCAATCTGCCGCGCAAACTTCCGGGCTTGCTTCTCCTTGAGCTTCCCGTGAGAGATGATGTAGTCGAGCATTTGGCCGCCGTTGACGTATTCGAAAAGCATGTACCAATGCCATCGCGTGCGCAGGTTGTCGCGAAGCCCACAAATGTATTGATGGTTCAACAAGCTGACGATGGCAGCTTCGCGCGCGTTACGATCCTCTCGAGCGGCATCGGACCGCTCGCGGTCTTCCTTGCTGGTTCGTCCGTCGTCGGCAGATACTCTCTCGATGATCTTACACGCAACCTACACGAAGAATCCTGACAGTTAGCTACGATACTGCCCCCCCGAAGCAGGCATGCAAGGCATGCGGTGAAACTTGCCAAATCATTTGTTCCCTCTTTCTTGGCCAGTTTAACCTTGCCCATGCTGCCCTGCCCGATTGTCTTTATGAAGGCATAGTTTCCCGACGGGGCCGGGATGACGGTGCGATATCTGTGCTTCGACTGCCGCTGCGACTGCTGTTCGGCGGAGCGATCGCGAGGCTCTTCGGCAGCTGGGGGGTTGTTGCTGTGCACAGAGGGAGGGGGCATCTCGTGTCGAGGCGATTGTGCCGTCGTCGAGCGCTGACTACCGCTGCGACGGTGGGGGCGTGACGCTTCAGCCCGGGTCGACGATTCGGATCGAGGAACGGGGTCGGGTCGTGACGACGTTGGTGGTCGGCGCGTCCGAACAGACTGGGACCGAGCGGGTATATCGGACCCGCCAGCGGAGAGTGTAGTCGCCATCGCAGGCGAGGAAGGCACACAGCCCCAGGTGGTAGTCGAATGTGGGCAGTTGTGTGCAAATAGCGGAGGTAGGTGCGCTTCGCTACTCTGTACCTACAGCAGGGCGACCGCTCGGAATTGTGGAGGAATTGCACCGTTCAGCCGTTACCCGAGTGTACTGCGCGAACTACGGCGCGATACAGGAAACAAGGTCCCGCAATAAATAAACCCGAAATCACAAAAAGACTTCGGGTCGTAAATGAAGTGTGTCTCGTTGCGTGGAAGTTACGCGGAATGCCTAGTCAGCGGCTGGTAGGAGGTGCAGGTGATAGCGGGAAAGGAGAGTTGACGGCAAGCCGGGGAAGCAGCCGAAAACAAGGCGATAAACAGGATGGGGGGATTGATTGTTTTGGCGGAACGTGGCGGGGAGCCTCTCGGTGCGGTACTACTGCTCGAATGCGCGGTGTACTCTCGACGGTCGGCGTGTTCGCTCGAGGTTGGGCAGTCGAGGCCGCTTTTCAGCAGCAAGCAGGAGTTGAGGGGGGACAACGAGCGTCCCTGGCTGGACCGCCGTCAGGGGGGGTGGATAGTGGAGTCCAAGAGGCCGGTATCCACGCATTGGGCCGGTCCCAGGTATTCCGTAATTTCAGCAGCTAGGTGCATAGGGTCGCTGCTTGAAATGTTGCAGCAGCTTGCCGGGAGCCCCCTCTCCCAGCCGTTGATTCCTGGAGTTCCATCTCGTACACTACCTTCTCCGAGCATGAAATTTTGTCGACTGGACGAAGGTATTGAGGCTCAAACCCGTATTCGATCAGCGTCGCTTTTTGCTCCAGATTCTCCACGGTAAGGTAATTACCGATACTAGTGTATGTAATACCGTGACGACCCAGAGTTGGGGTTGGAGGATGCGCCTCCCTGGCCCCCGGCCCGGTCCCGGCAGACTCCCAGAAACTGCTCTGCTGTGTGCCTCATGCTCGCGCCAGTTTTGGCCCGGGCTGCAGCATGATGACATTGTCATTTTTTCATGAAATATTTATCCCGATCGCGTCGACATCAGCACTTGAAATACATGCATCAACAATTGGCCCCGAACGGACACCCCCCTCACCCACGCCCTGCAATCGGTAAACCCAAGGTTTCCGTCTCGATTCCTCAACTTCCCTCCACAAATACAGCATTGAGTTGCCTAGCAGTCGAGGGAGGCTGGGAGAACGGGGAGCATCTCACACTCTTCCCCAGTGGCTGCCCGATCGCCTCTTGATTGGTCCGCCCAGGCGGGGAGCCATGCTGCAGAGCCATGCGTTTGGCTGGTGGGCGGCCACACCTCAGGCCGGCCCAACACCAAACGACGCGGGGCGGCGAAAGCGGTGGCCCTGATCTGGGCAACTAATCTAAGCGAACGACGCGTCCGCCTGAGAACTGACTGGACGTCCAAGCAGAGAAGAATGAATGGTTAAGTTGAGGAGCCGCGACCTTTCTTTTTGTGCTTTGGAGCGGGGCAGAACTACAGGAAATGGAACTCAGAGCCAAACGCCGATTCCCGGCGCGGGGCAGTGGTAGGCAAACATGTTAGCCACTTGTGAAACGGCTTAATCGCGCACATACAGTCAGTGGACGTGGCCGCGGGGTGAATGGATGGCGGCTCGGGAATGGGACGCGATTTCACCTGGAAGCTGCCGGATGATATCATGGCGCTGATCTACCACGGAGGGGTCCCAGTGTCGCGGATTTCATTTTAACCGTTGTGAGGTCTAGAATCATGATATCTCCGAAAGACAGTTTGATGCCTGTTCTCCGCGATGTCCCGGGCCGGCTCGCTCATCTACTGTGTAAATACTCGAGAGCTAAGCCAAGCCCTGACCAAAGACTTCATCTGAAACGGCTACATTTGCGTCCGCCTGCGCGCACCAAGGCTGCAAAGTCGTGCAACTTCCATCAGACGAGGCATCCGATGACAAAATTAGAGGATTTCGTCTTGTGACCGTGTATCGATATTGGGGTAGGCTGATTCCGTCTGAATTGCTCCGGAGGTTAACCACGTCTAAGTGTGGGAAGAGATTACCTACTTGTCGTTAGGGAGGACAGGATAAAACCAGGTGCAGAGAGGCTGCATCGGTAAGCATCGCGGATGTAAGACAGGCGCTTCCGTGAAATGTCGCCCAATTGATTTTTCTTGTCATATTTTAAGCAGCGGATCACAGATAGCGTAAAGGGTTGCATTTTCACACGCTAAGCTTCGCCCACCAGTGTTAAATGTTCTGTTGAAGAAGGGCAATTATTACCTACTCCATTTATACCAATTCCATGAGCAATCGTACTCTCTTCCTATCTTGTCCATCGGGTTGAGATGGCCTTTTCGGAAGTCCAAATTCTTCAACTTCTAATTTCCTTCTAGCAAGCAGTAACGAGCTGCTTAGAAAGATGCCTATACCAGTCCTCGGACATATGCGAGGTAGTTTTGCCATCAATCTCAATCAACTCTGGTTGCTGGGCTGTGTCAACCTCTTCAAGTCTTATCCGTTCCTCTCATGAGCCCTTCTATATTACCTTGTTAAAGGTCCTCCGGGATCAACATTCTTTGTCACTTTTCTTCACAGGCTGGGTATTATTCAAATAATCCTTTCCTCCACCGGTCCATATTCTTAAATAATACTGTAAGTGTAGTTAATACAAAACCCAACTGGCTGTGATGCGGCCAGCAAGTAGTTCATGTGTTATTCAGAACTGGGGTTAGGGTTATAAGAGCCAAAATGAACCAGCACCACCCTTGCATCATTCTCACCGCCTTCTATTCTTGGCATCATTCTGCCGGTTGCATTCAAGGTTCCCAACGATAGGAAAGTGAAGCTTCATCTTCGCAACTGGATAAGCAACTCACAACCTACGATTCTTTTCGCCGTCGCTCCGCCGCCCCATATTGGCAACTCGATTTGGGATTCTCCATGTCCTATAAGAGATCACGCGCAACCTACGAGGCCGACCTTGCCGCACAACAGTCGCCTTACGTCGCGTTCGGCACGCCGCTCCCGCCATTGGACCCCGAAACCCGCGATGATGGCTCCTATGTTCCGCTCTGGAAGCAGGAGGTGAGGGACGACCGGGGCAGGAAGAGGCTTCACGGCGCGTTTACTGGAGGATGGAGCGCAGGGCAAGTACGCTCGTGTCCCGTCGCACTCGCGATGGACCAACTGACATTTTCTGGTGTAGTTACTTCAACACCGTCGGCTCGAAAGAGGGGTGGACACCCTCAACCTTCGTTTCGTCCCGGACAAACCGCCGTAAAGATGACGTCAAGAATTCTCAGCAGCGACGGGAGGATTTCATGGACGAGGAAGATCTAGCCGATGCCGAGGAGTCAAAACGGATACAAACCCAGTCAGCATTCGCTGGCCTCGGCTCGACAGCTGACGATGAAGCGAGAGCCGGTAGCCTTATGGATCTTTTCCGCGCCGAGGGCGATACTATGGGTTCCAAGCTTCTTAAGAAAATGGGGTGGAAGGAAGGACAAGGCATCGGCCCAAAGGTTCGCCGTAAGGCCCGTTTGGGGCTAGGAAGTGACGCGAATGGTGGAACGGGATCCCACCTCTTTGCGCCAGAGAATGTTCCGATGATTGGGTTTGTCCACAAGACCGATCACAAGGGGCTAGGCTTTGCTGGAGAGGGTAGACTTGCGCCGATCGGTGCTTCCGCCAGGCCGACCGGGGCAGCAGAATCAGGCTCGGACGATGATGGAGAGACAGCGAACTTTGGAAGACCGAAATTCACATTATCGTCTGGGCGCAAAAAGCCACGGGACAAGGGCCGGGGAGGGATTGGTGTTGGCGTTCTCAACGATACAGGCTCCGACGACGAAGACCCCTATGAGATGGGCCCACGAATATCATATAACCGGGTAATAGGGGGAGACAAGAAAAAAAAGAAGGCTTCGGCGGCTGTAAATCCCGCTGTCAAGACCAAGCCAGCATTCATGCCGTCGAAAAAGTCGTCTTTGGGAGGGATCGGGCTAGGGATGCGGAAATGCCACGACGGACGACTACCTTTAGAAGGATTCATATTTGGCAAGGAATCTGACGTTTTGACAACCGGAACCAACGATGAAGGGAAATACGCGCCCCCGAAAGTTCCCCCGGGCTGGGTCTCGGCGAAGCAGGTGAAAGCGCTGGTCGGTGCAAGCGGCTACGTTTCCACCTCAGACGCAGCCAAGGCATCCACACTCGATCCAAAGTCGCGAGCAGCGATTCTCGGTGAGATGCAGCTTCCAGGAAAATCGGTCTTTGATTTCATGTCTGCAGAAGCGCGGGACCGTTTGGCTGCGGCGACCGGAAAACAAAATCTCCCCCCTGCTCGTGGCGAAGTTCCGGCCGAATACGCGCTCAGCGAGGCGGACAGGTTACAGGAACTTCTCAGCCGTGTTCCAAAGCTAGACAAAGAGACCGCCGTCGCTGCCATATCCCGAGGCACTGGTGGCAATGCGCCATATCGAGATGATGAGGCGAAACGCGCAAGATACATCTCCTTCCTCGAGTACCAGGCCGGATTCCGGCCAACCCCAGGCGACCAGCCCTCCAAGATGAGGAACGATGACTGGCTAAGAGAGATGCATGAGTTTTACAACTGTGCACGGATCTTCAAGCCTATGACGGGCTTCATGGCCAGTCGATTCACGACGTCAACGAACAAATCCGCCGTCAACTCATCCTCCGAGACGGAAGAGAGGGAGCTGTTATCTAAGCCGCCGCCCAAACCCCAAGACCCGGCCGAGGAAGCCGCTAAATTGGGCATGTTCGGCCCAATGACCAGGTCCGTCACAGACTTTTATCCCACCCGCCTCCTTTGTAAACGCTTCAACGTGAAGCCGCCGCACCACGTGCAGCCCGATGAGTACTCGGTCCCTTCAGCCACGAGCAAGGCCAACTTCAACGCCAGTTTCTCGTACAGCGCCCCACAAGACGCTGAGGTTCCACAACAAGCACCTGTCGTGCCAGATTTTGGCTCCAGGTCTGCGTCCTCGGCGGGCACTTCAGGGGTTGGGGGAAGTGCTATTGCTCCTACGCAAGAGAAGCTCGTGCCGCAGATTACGGCGCCCGAGAAGGTTGTCGTCGACTCCAGTAGGAATGAGGCCCTGGAAGGGAAGAGGGCCGGAGACGAAGTGTTCAAGGCGATTTTTGGTGACAGTGATGAGGATGATTGAGCGTAATGACAATACAATACCCATGCATTGGCGTCCTGGAGTGTAATTTCTGAGGGTCCAACCTAACGTTTCTCATATCATCGTCCTTGGCAAGGTAGGTTTGAGACGGAATAACCCAGTCAAGAACTTTGAATGCTTATATTTAGAGCTCTGTATTTAACCTATGATTACCGTTACCCTTCCTGCCTCTGGCTCACCTCACAATAATCCTCTCAATCTCTGCCACCTTAGCCAACGCTTCCTTAATTTTCTCCTTTGCCCCGTCACCAGGCGGCAAGTACGGACTCCTCGGCCTCATCTTGTCCTCCGCATCCTCCACCCCAGCCAACGGCGCGGTAAACACGCTCGCAGCATACTTCGTCGCCGCAATCCCACCACTCTTCAACGCCTGCTCCGCAAGGGCTGCCGCACGGTGCAGCGCCAGAGCCTCCTTCGTCTTGCCCGCTTGGTACAGCCTGTACACCTCAGAGATGGTCTTGGGGAAGACGTTCCCAAACGCCGCGATGCATCCGGCGCTGCCCACGGCCAGTCCGCCGATGAGGAAATCGCTCTGCCCGCCAAACACGGCGAAGCGTTCGGGCGGGAACTCGGCCGCGAGCCGGGTGATTTTGGCCACACTTCCGCAGGTGAGCTTGACACCGACGATGTTGGGGTGTTTCCGTGCTAGTCTCGCAATTGTCTCACTATTCCTTTTGTCAGTCTTCCGGCCCATACTCCCCCCCGCCCCCCTCTCATCGTTCCCCAGAGAGGACCAAACATACCTATCCAAATCCACCCCCCCACAAACCCCCGGAAAATTATACACCACCACCCCAACCCCCAACCCCTCACAAAACCTCGCCACCTCCCCATAAAACCCCTCCACCACCTCGCCCAACCCGGCCACCTTCCCAAAATACCCCGGCGGCAACACCAACACCCACTTGACCCCGGCAACCTCCACCGCATCCCTCACAAACTCCTTCACCTGCGCCGTCGAATGCCCCCCGACGCCCGCCATGATGGGGTACTCGGGCCCTAGGGCGGTGCGCGCCGTGTGCAGGATGGCTTTGCGCTCTTCGCGGGTGAGGAGGAAGGGCTCGGCGTTGGTGCCGAGGATGAGGAGACCCGCGAGACCGGTGGTGGGTGCGCCGAGGTAGCTGAAGTAGCGCGCTTGGGAGGGGAGGTCGGGGGTGTCAGTTTGGTGGTTGAAGAGGGTTACTGAGGGGACCCAGACGCCGGAGGGGGGGACGGGGAAAGGGGGGGATGACATTGTGTACCGGTGGTGGGTGGTCAGGTTGGGTTATGTGTGTGTTTGTTGGGAGAGGGGGGATATGGAAGGGATAAAGGAGTGTGTGATGGGTGAGTTCTAGGAAACTGCCCTAGGTTTGAGGGTATTATTGGGATGTTGTTGAATCCGTCGAATCCCAAGCTTGGCTCAATGTATAGTTGTGAGGATGGAGGAGAGTAAGCACAAGGTGGATGCGTCGGTCTTAGGAGATGTCAAAAACATGTGGGGCCGGTAAGAAAGACATCGCCGGTTAGGCACGGCGATAAGGTGCCATCGGACACGAGTTCTCGAATCCGACCGGACCGAACATGCAGTGGGGTTGGGCATTTCTCGCTCCCTCGGGCGATTCCACTCCGACTTGGGCAACACCTTCCTGCCGCAGATGCAATGGCTAGCGGGGGCTAGCGGGGCCTAAATCACTGGCCGACACCGGCATCCGGATGGATCCCTGGGACGGAGACAAAAGAAAGATAACTTACTGACAAAAGAAAGATAACTTACTGGAGACATTCAGTGTTATATGCTGCTAAACGCGGCCGGGTTCAAACAGAAAGGTATATTAACAGATCTCGTACCAGCGCCCACACAACAGGGCGTTGCCAAAGAGGCAAGGGGGGTGACAGAAAAAAAGAAAACAAAAAGGAAAGAAAAAAGGAAAAGAGGTGTCGAAGGAGCGAGAGGGAAAAAAAAAAAGGGAAACCTAAAGCACCAACGTGTATCCCCAGATCCCTCCGAGCACATACCAACAAGTCTTGCCGAAAGAATCCAACCACTCGCTTCGCTCCCAATGATTCCACGACGAAGTAACCAAATTCGCAAGCGTCATCCATCACTTCACTCGCCCACCAACTCAACGCAACCCAATAACGCTCATCTCGAGCGTCCACACCCGCCGGATCCAAACCTTCAGCTTGGTACCCGCAGGCAAGCCCTCCACACCCTCGAGCTCCACGCCCTCCCACCAGCAGCGACGGGCCGGTTTGCGCCAGAACAGCAGCAGCTTTTGGGCCATACCCACAGCACTGCTTCCCATGTCGTTACCGCGGATGTCGGAGCGCAGGCGGGCGAGGGCTAGCGAGCAGATCACGGCCTTGTTGGGCTCGCCCGCGCGGTGGCCCCATCGATCGTCGTGGTTGAAGCCACTGGCGCACAAGTTAGTATGCGATCTAGGCAAATGCATATAAAAGATCAAGGGGGAGATTGTAGATTATATAAATAAAAACTCACCCAGCAGTGAGCATCTCAATGAGATGTGCCTCGGTCGTACCCGGCTCATCACTCTTCTTCAGCCCACTAAAGATGCCGTCCTGCTTGAGCAGCGCGCGCGCGGCCGCCCGCTTGACCTCGATCATCTCGGGCTGGTCAATATCCTGCTTAGGCGGGATGGCGTAAAAGTCGAGGTCCTCACGGAGCACGATAATGCCAGCGCGGCGACTGCTCTCGTCCCGCGCAGTGGGGTCCAGCGGCACCACACCGTCGGTGCCGTCGCCGTTGGGCTCGGCCGGGATGCTCTGGGCCACGTTGCGGAAGAAGTCAAGCATGTACTGGAGCGATGCTGGGTCGTACTAGTTGGGTGTTAGCCAGTGGAACAACATCACGGACGTGCGCGAGATAGGTAGAAAGAAAGAACGTACGTCAACCTGGACCGCATCGCCTTCCGTGAACCCGCCCATATGCCCTTCGGGGAACAGCCCATTAGGGAAAAGCGACAGTAGGACAAACTCGGGGAGCGTCAGCAGCTCGTCTCTAGACAGCTTGAAGCGAGTGCCCCTGCGCAAACAGTCAGTCTCACGAACAGAAATATCCCAGTTCGAATTTCAACAGTCTTACCGCAAGTCCATCACAATCGTTTCATCCCCGGGTACATCCCCCAGCGGGTTGAGCGATGGCCCACCCTGCTGAACCTGAGTAATAATACTCGCAGCTCCTCCTGCGGCAGCCATGAGGTATGAAAAGGAATCGAGGGGACTAGATCCCTCGGAATATGCCGGTGGCGGTTCTGAATCCTCGTCCTTCGCGCTACTGCTACCACCCTTGCTATCCTGCGGAAGCGCGCGTTTAGTTTCGTACTGGAATCGAAGAGCAGCGGACGCGCTATTCGATGACTCGGCGGCGTTTTCGGCGACGGGCGCGTAGGCTGGGGCCGCGAAAGGGGAGGATGAGGAGGATGGTGAGGCGGAAGAAGACGCGGCGGCTGTTTCTGTTGTTACCCCTGGAGAGGTTGTGTCTTCAACGGCGGCTTTGTATGGTTCGCACGGCTCGAGAACGGACTCGGATGACTCGCGGTCCTGGGTATCGGTGTTGGTGGTAGCTGGAAAGAGCGACGAAAACGAAGGTGGCGGCCGGAAAGCGGACGAAGACGGGCCTGAGGCCTCGGAGGCGGGATACTGCGGCGGTGGAGAGCGCTGGCGAGATGGGTGTGATTCGTCGTCGTTGGTATCGATGGGGCTAGCCGCAACTTTATTACTCGCGACAGAGTTGATCGGCTCGGCCACGATGGTGGTAGTCGTGTCAAATCTGGGATCGGAAATGCCTGCTTCCTCCTCGACACTGCGCCGCTTGCGGGGGATGGGCCCGGCGGATGGGCGGCTGGATTCTCGGTGGTCAGACAACGTGATGGTGGTTTCCGCGAGGACTCGGTGTGGTTGTTCGTCGTTCGAGGTGAAGTTCAATCGGTCGGTCGGTCAGAATCCCCGAAAAACCGTTGGTGTGGCGCAGTAGATTGTCGCTCGGAGCTGCGCGTGTGAGCGAATTGCTTCAATTGCTCTCTTTTGGCTTGATGTCGCGGCGGAAACAGTTGGTGGTGATTGACCGGCGGTTAGGTGCGTGCCCGGCTGGTAGGGGTCTGGCCTGTTGCCCACAGATGTGGAGGGGGGCGGGCCGTGGGATGGTGGATGGGGCCTGGAAATAAAAGTAACCTTCACCCGAGATGACAGCCCAGGACCTGCAACGCTGGGTCGCGTTATGACATTGGGGAACGACCCTGGGAACCGAGGCTTGAAATCTCTTTCTGTGGCTAAATATTAACAGCTCGGAAAGCAAAATCAATGAGGCAATTGAGACTTTACTCAGTAGAGATCAATGTTGGTTTGCTTCCCAGCTGACATTGATACGGAGTACTTCTATCTGTTGGTTGGGCTAGCCACACAGTGAATGATGACCCCTGAAGCTCCATTCGCCGGCGAATCAGCTGTCATACCACCAGGGGGCATGTGGGGATCCATCAGAATGCAGCCGCGCAGAGCGCCCAATCAGGTGAACTAGGCCTGGCATTGACTTGTCACCCCAATCGTTCCCTAGGACTTTGTTAAAGTCATCCAAGAGCCGTAATCGTTTACAGCGAGTTAATTCTCGGATCTCAAGAGACTCTGTGGTCAGACCCGAGATGGTGTTCAGAAACGCAAATACCGTAGATCAATCTTGAGGATGGGTGAACCCCAGTACCTATTGTTACCTACCTAGGTAAGAGAAGAGTACCTAAGTAACTGAAAGCCAACATAGAATGTTAAACACATCTCCCAAGTATTACTTAGTTTTTATTTTCAAGTGGTTCGGCCTGTGGACTCTGGGAGACGAGTAGTTTAAAGAGAGTTATTAGTCTAGCATTCTAGGCTTTCTGAGTTTGAGTTGCAGAACTCAAAAGAAGAGCAGTGAGTGAAGCTGGCTCGAATCCGATTCAGCATCTCGCCTGTCACAGCACGGGGCATCGGTTTCGTATGCAAGGTAATTTATGACCCCATCTGTACGTTACACCTTGATTGCATGATGGCTATGACGATCTGATGTGCCCTGGCACAATAAACGACCTTTGAAAATCGCATCTCTTCTTGATGGACGTTCCGTCTCTCCTGTTGCCCTTTAGAGGGCGGTTCGGGCATACCCAAGCTCCGGGTGAACCCCGCGATGGCTAAAAAGGCACCAGGCAGATGACATCACCAAACACCGCCAACCAGACGCTGTTTCCCACTATGGACTTCGATGCTTTGTGCCTGGGGCGGAATGTAACGGCAGTCGAGCAACAACGCAACCCAAGACCTGAAAGCGGTGCTGAAAGCCGTCAGTTTGCAGTAACTCAGCTCGGCGGTTGGCTTACTTGAGAATGAGTAAAGTCACCTGCTCACGGGTCTTGTATGAAGCGAGGGATCGGGGCGAACCGGATTAGGCATTCTGCTTTGATGTTTTTGTGACTTGACGTGCGCACTATGCGAAGGATGCATGCAAGACATAGACGCAACGCAATCTTCGGCGTGCCTGGCGAGGAAGGTGCGCGATTGCCCCATTACCAAGCCTTGAAAATAACCAGTCTCAGGATTCCCGTCTGCGAGCATTGGCCTTGAATACTACCTCAACCTCACAAAAGGTGCGGGCCACACAAGCTCAACCAGGCACCACGAACGGAAAATCACGAAATAACCGGGAATCCCGGGTAGACAAGAACAGACGGGATTGCCGACAACCGTTGCATGACGTCCCAAGGGAGATCCTCTTCGGTCCGCCCATATTTACCCCCAGATCTCCCTCTTTGCGACAAGATCCCCCTCCGGTTCCTCACCTCGATAACTTTTGTTTTTAGCCTTGGCTTACACAACGACATCGCAACCACGATACATGATGAACCGGCTCCTAAAGCGAGCTGCCGCAGCAGCACTGCTGCTGTCTGGTAGCGGAACAGCGCAGGAGACCACAGTCACCACAACAACCGTATCCACAGCTACCACCGACATCACCACTACAGTTGCTTCCACAGCGGCGTCGTCATGCGCCACGGTTCTGACACCAACCTATTCTCCTCCCGTGGTTGCCAAAGGATGGAAGGCCCAGCTGATTGCCACCAACCTCAGCAGCCCGCGGGGCATCAAATTTGATTCCAGTGGCGGTCTCCTTGTGGTTGAGGCTCAGGCTGGTCTCAGGCGTCTTGTTTTTGATGATAATGGCGGGACCTGTTTGTCGGTAAAGGAGAGCACGCCGGTTATAGATGATAACGAGGTAAGTCTGGCAAATAAGTTGAGATTCAGGGAAAAAGAATAATACGCTTACCAATGTGTAGCTCAATCACAGTCTGGAGCTCTCCGCAGACGGCAAGACCCTCTACGTCTCTTCGACCGAAAACGTAGACCAGTATTCCTACGATGCCGAAACAGGCACTGTGGGCAGCCTCACCCGCATCATCTCCAACATGACCAACCCAAACTTTGGCCACTCGACGCGGACGCTGCTCCTCTCCCACCACGTACCTGACCTGCTTGTCGTATCGCGCGGCAGCTCCGAGAACATCGATCTGCTGACAAACGACATCACGAGCGGTATCTCGCAATTGCGGGCCTTTAACGTCTCCAACACCACCACGACCATCCTTGACCGTCCCTATAACTACCCCTCCGACGGCCTGCTGATCGCTTGGGGACTGCGCAACTCGGTTGGCGTGGCCGAGCACCCAGAGCAGGGAACCATCTGGTCGGTCGAGAACAGTGCCGATGAGATCCACCGCCTAGGCGAAGATGTCCACGAGGACAACCCGGGCGAGGAGCTCAACTTCCACGGGGCCCTCAACGACGATAACTCCAAGCTATTGGGCGCCAACTACGGCTACCCGAACTGCTTCGCACTCTGGAACACGACGGCCTTCCCTTCGCCCGGCGACCTCGCCGTCGGCGCTCAATTCTCCCTCGACAACAACGCCACGGCCAACGACACCGCCTGCGCCGCCAACACCGTTTCGCCGCGCATCACCTTCCGCGCCCACATGGCGCCGCTCGACATCAAATTCAACGGCACTTCTCGGGCGTTCGTATCGTTCCACGGCAGCTGGAATCGCGATCACCCTGCGGGCTACAAGCTGTCCTACGTGGACTTTGACAACGAGGCGGGCGAGCCGGTTGCACAGAGCGATAGTCTCGAGGCTGTGCGAGACGTGCTGACCGCGCCGGACGTGTCGGTGTGCGGTTCGGGGGGTAAGTGTTTGCGGCCCGCTGGGCTCGCGTTCGACGCGGATCGGCAGCGGTTGTTCGTAACCAGCGATGCGACGGGGGAGATTTGGGTGGTGACCCGGGATGGCGAGGAGGTAGATGTTGGCAGCGGTGAGGGCAATGCTAGTAGCACCAGTGGGAATGGAGGTTCGAATGGTGGTGGCTCAAACACTGGTGGAGGGCCATCGCCAAGCTCGTCGACTGCTGCAGCTGTGCCGGGCGTGGTGTACCGCGGTGTGGGAGGTAGTAGTTGGGCTGTGGTTGGTGTGACCGTTGGGATGATGGTCCTTGGTGGAGTTGGGTTCATGATTTGAGAGTCTGTTTGATCGGGTGTATCTCGCCTGAGAGAGTATAATGTTCCGAGATGATTCTAAATTGATTTGTGTCAGCTACAGGCGCGTGTTAATAGTCATGAGAGGAGGAATGAATACATACCTGATTCAGCCCCCTTCGCCAACCTATCTCACTCGACACTCATATACCAAAAGTTAAGGTTGGCTCACGATTCAGATAACACACGCAACAGGCATACACAACACAAGCTGTCTGTATTCATTAGCTCTAAATCCCGTCCCAACCTTAAACGCCCGGGCCCCTTCTTAATCGTCCTCTTCATCATCCCACTTCCCCTCCTCTGCCTACTCCTCAATCGTCTTGACACACTCCCACTCGCCCTTAAGATTCTCCTTCCACAGTGTAACCTTGTTATCACCGCCGCTAGCCGCCAGTACGTTGCCGCTAAGCGACCAGCTGACACGCCAGACAGCCGCCTCGAAAGTGAGCACCTTAGCAGTCCACTGCAACGGATTAGCCGGGTCGCTGGTCCAGATACGCACGGTACGGTCCTCAGACGCGCTGGCGATGTAGCTCTTCTGCAACACAGTCGGGCTCCACGCCACGTCGCGCACCCAGTCGGTGTGGCCCGTCAGCGGCTCGCGCTCGGGGGTGTAGGTGTTGCTCGCGGCGTCGTAAGCCCAGATCTTGAGCGCGTTGTCGGAGCCGCCCGTGACGAAGCGGCGGTTGCCCGTCGACTTGGGCCCCGGCTTGCTGCTGACGATCGACCCGGGGCTGGTTGCGGGCGCCCAGGATACCGAGTTGACGCCGAGCCCGTGTGCGTGGAAGATGCCGTGGTCCCAGCTGTTGTCCTTGAACTCGAGCACGCTGACGTTGCCGTCGGAGGAGGCGCAGGCTAGGAGGCAGCCGGCTTCGTGCGGGGCCCATGAGACGACGTTGACGCTGGCTTTGTGCAGCGCGAAGTCGAAGATGCGCTGCCACGCGCCGTTGAGCTCGCGCCAGATGAGCACCTTACCGTCGTACCCTGCGCTAGCTAGGATGTTGCCGTACTTGGGGTGCGCCCAGGAAACGCACCACACTGCGCCGTCGTGCCTGTTTTATCCGCAAATATTTGTAAGCCCTTCTCGTCCGAGATCTCATCCATCCGTCAAACAACCACTTGCCCCCCCCCACCCCCCCCCCCCCGCTAGTTTGGTCCCTTCTCTTTGATGACGTACCCCTTCAGTGTCTCGCTCAGCCGTTGCGTTTCGCCCTCAATCTCGAAGATCTTGATGGTCCGGTCCGACGAGCAGGTCGCTAACCTCCGGCCGTAGTAGTCGAGGACTGCATCGTGCTGCTCTCGGTCAGCGTTTGTTTCTCGTCTTCGTCTAGGATTGTAGCTTTCGTTGTTTCGTGGCTTCGTCGCTGCACTCTTGCAGCTTCTTGGCCCCGCTTTGGGCTGTATGGGAGGGTCTCCGGTGTCTGCGTCGAGGAGAGAGAACATACAATCATATCATCGTGGCCAGAGTTGGCGATTACTTGGGTTCCCGCTGCCTGGAGCTTGGGTTAGCGGGGGTCAAGCTAGAGAATTTGGGGCGAGAAAGCAGGAGGGCGCGAGGTGTGCATACCATTGTGACGGACTTTCTTTCTATTCAGTCAATGCAACTGGCAGAAACAATAGGAAAGATGGCTATTTTCTTTGGGGGAATATGCCGGATCGAGGTCACAGGAGTATGGGTATCGTCAATGACCTGCAAGAGAGCGCTGAATGTGAGTGGCCGCCGGCAGAGTGGGTTCTGGTCGTGAACCGCACCCCCTGTTGAGTCCAGCTGGCAAGAAATTCAAGGTGAAAGCTCTCGGTGTGCGTGAGCCTGCAGGGATCTCACCTTGAAAGGCCCGAGCGGCCTGCCGATGCCCCGAGCCGGGCCTAATAAGCCCCACTACAGGCCGCTCTCAGTGGGCCGTGCACCTGCTCCGGCTTGGCTTCGCCCCTCTGTCACAGGCCCGTCCCGAAGTCCCCAGGACGAACTTCGACTTGCACATCACTCTCCTTCATCGTGACCTCGGCGGCCCGACGACACGACACATGAATAAAGCGGGCCCTAACTGAACGGCCTCAGTCACCCTATTGTTTATAGACAACAATGCCTCTTGATTCAATAGACCTCTTTCCTTCTTTTCCTGCGCGACCAACTTGATTTACCTCTCACCATCGGCTCGGTTCTTCGCTTTTCGCCTCCCTCGGTCGACCTCGGCATCTCGAACCACCGTCAGGTTTACTACTTTTGACCTCAACAAGGCCATTATCCCTTTTGCCTTAGGCGAAATAACCTTGCGCAACCTCGATTTACCCATCATCGACTTCCAACAACCCTCCAAGATGGCCGACAGCATGTGCGGCCCGTCTAACGGTGCCAAGAATCTTCTGGCTCACGTCGACCGCGACCGCGGCCACCAGCAGGATCGTTTTGTCAACGTCCAGCAGCCTGGCGCCGGCAACGTAAGTTTTCTACTTGCGGGAAGCGCAAATATTCACGGAATTGAGAGTGCAAAATTTGCTAACCAACTCTCAACAGGCCTTCCGCTCTCACAATGCCGTCGGCAACGGCGCCGAGATGGCCTTCGGCGGCTTCCAGAACGGCACTGCTCCGATGGACGCCTCTTTCGGCCCCGGTCTCGACATGCACATGGGTCCCGGCGCTAGACCTTTCGGCCACCCCGCTCCGGGTGTCCCCGGTGTTCCGTCCGGCATGGGCCACATGGCTCCGGTCGCCCCGGCGGGCCGTCTTGTCTCTCCGGCCACCGGCGGCCCCTCGCACCAGGAGTGGGTCAACCAATTCTCTACCATGCAACTTGGCGGCAGCAAGGCCGGCCCTAGCGCTGCCATGCCCGCTCAGATGCAGGCCAACCGCGCCAACATGGCTGCCATGAACCCGGCCATGAACATGCAGCAGGGCAATTTCGGCATGCCCATGTATGGTGCCGGTGCCATGGGCTTCGCCCCCCACATGAACCCGGCTGCGCAGCAGCAGCAGGTCCAACCCGCCGTGACCCAAGAGTCCGCCATCGACGTCGAAGCTTTCAACCGCGCTTTCGGCGAGTACGACGATTCCAACTTCGAGACCGAGCTGGCCGGCTGGAAGGAACAGGAGCAGGCCGCCAACAAGGAGTTTGCCGAGGCCCAGGATGAGTGGATGGCCGAGCACGGTCCGCACACCGAGGCTACCGCCACCAAGATGGCGCCTCCGACCCCTGCCGAGATGAAGATCATTGACGCCAACATGGAGGAGATTGCCGCTGAGCAGGACGAAGTCAAGGAGATGACGGCCCGCGGCAACGAGGAGCTCGTCCGTGCCGCCACCGAGATCATCAGCTCCATTGCTGACAACACTTCCGAGAAGTTCAAGAACTCGCGCTTCTTTGAGCTCATGCGTCGCATTGGCAATCGCGAGGTGGTCGTCGAGGGCGATAGCTTCGTCAACGCGGTCACCGGTGAGTCTGTCAAGACGGCTGACGATGAGGAGGATATCATTCGCGAGAAGGCTGCTGCTTCCGCCTCAGGCGCTGCCACTGTCACCGCAGCCACCGCTTGATTACCTGCTGGGTACCGCATCATCACTCCGTCACCGTCACGCTACACGACGCCACGGACATCTTGAGGATGCTTGCATTTCCTCGACTTTCCCGAACCTGTATGGAAATTAGTACAGCACTGTACGATGTATTGTATACAGCCGCCACCCCGCTCTGTACACCCTCGCTCGACAACCACAAAACCTCAATTCCTTGCTTTCAATACACCTTTCCCCTTCCCCTCGGCCTGTCCTTCGGTTCCTTTTCCCCATTTTCCTTTGTCAAAACTCACACCTGTATCCCACCCCTCCATTATCCGAGGGGTTGTATGTTTTATCACTTGTCATCGATCGATTCTTTCCCCACTGGAGAGGGACCTGGGACGGAATCCTTTTCTTGGCCGCATAGTTCGGGGCGTTGGATTCGGGGAGTTAGGATGCAGACGGATGAAATCCGATACGGAATGGATTCCTTGCGTTGTTTTTCTCTCTTTCGTCTTGGGTTCTGGTTACTCGACATTCCATCTGGATTTTCTCCCTGGCTCCTCTTCTACCTTTGGAGATTTGAACGGGCATTTGCATGGCATTCGCGGCCGCGCTGATGTGGTGTTGGCACGCTGAAAGATTTTCCTGTCTTGGTTTGCAGCATTGCTTGGAGCAATGGGGACAGCAAACCCGCGGTCCACTGGTATGGGATATGTCCCATGCAGGTCTCGCGGGTCTCGCTATTGTATGAGGCAATGGCTCGGCTATTTTGCTTTCCGTTTCCTTCTCTTTTTTCTGTTCCTCTATTTCGGCCTTACATCCATCGATGTATTTTCCACTTGCTCCGGATGAGGCTGGTTGCTCGACGAGGTTGCTGTAGGAGTTGACGGGCTGGCGGTTGAACGGCGTTTTTCTTTTTCTCATGATAGACCTGGCACAGGAGGGAGGTAGTTACCTAAGGGCTCGCTTCCGAGGAAGCAGGTTGGCAATAACCCCATCCGCCATATACCCCAAATCAGTCTCAAACTGCATTATCGTGATGTGCATGTGTACCATCGCTATGTTTTCCTCTGCACGTGCCGTCCTCCTACATAAAGGAGGTAGTATCGCTAGCGCTGGTGGGGACGGGAAGCAAGGGGCCAAAGCTACACTACGCGTCGCTAATCGAGCGAGGCTCTTTCCTTTTCCATGTTCGTTTCTTTAATCTTCCATCCCCATTCCTCGGCAGGGTTTCTTCCTTTATTTCCGTCGGCCAATGCTCCCAAATAAGAACCGGTAACTTAACAACCAGAACCCCCAAGTTTTTTTTCTCTCGGTATACAAATCTCACGATGGCGGTGCCAAGCCCCCAATCGCCGGCGCCCCTTAGCGGTCAGAAATTCCATATTCCGAACCTCTGGCCTGCGTTCGCCGGGTGGAAACATGGTGTCAACCCGCTTCACGGGCGGGTCAAGCTGGCCGTAGATGCACGGCTGGAGGGCTTGTTTGAGGACCCGCGGGTCGTGGAGAAGGTGAAGGCCGTGGATATTGGGCTTTTTGCTGCTGGGTATGTTTCCCTGGTATCTTCTCTCATCGGATGTGAGCTAATTTACTTCAATTGGCCAAAAGGGTGTTGGTAGACGTACCTTACGATATCCTGGAGACAATGGCATTTTACTCCATCTGGCTAGTCCTCTGGGACGATTACATCGACGGCGAGGACGCCGATGCAGGCGGCGGCAATGGCGGCGAGACGACCGATCTAGCCGCGGAGTACTGCCGGCGGTCCGTGGCCTTTGTGAAGCATTCCCTGCAGCTTGACGAGCGCAAAGTCAGCGACGAAGGACTGGGGGGCCAGCAGGCGGTGGTCCCTGAGGCACCGACCAAGGTGTGTGAGAGCTTTGCAGACGTTGGCCGGCGGTTCGTGGAGGTGTGTGATCTCGCGGCGAGGAGGGAGATGTTTGGACATTTGAAGGAATACATGGAAGGCTGCGTCGTGGAGCACAGGTGGAAGTCGTCAGGCAAGATCCCGAACGTGGAAGAGTACTACGCGTTTCGGTTGAAGGTGACGTCGGTGGATGTCATGCTGGATCTTTGCAGGTGCGTGGTCTCCTTGAGATACTAGTGCGCGGAATATGAGCTGACGAATCTCGTAGGGTAACGAATGGGTTTGTGTTCCCCAAGGAAATACTGGATTCGGAAGAGGTGGCGATCATGCATCTCACTATAAACAAACTGTTTATCGCGTAAGTCAGGCCGCATTCTCTTCCGCTGCGCCCTTTGCTAACCATATTTAGCGTCAACGATATCTTCTCGCTCAAGAAGGAGTTGGTAAGTGGCGTTATTGGCACCCCATCATAGAACAACCATAGACTGACTTGTCATTCGTTTTTAGAAGGTCGGTGAATTCGGGAACTTGATACCGATCAAGATGCGGGCGTTGAATATGGATTTGGCCACAACCCTGGAGAGCGTGGTACAAGATATGCACAACCTGGTTCAAGATTTTGACCGGAGTGCCTCAACCATCCGAAAACAGCTCATGTTGGGCGAGCAGCATGGGTTAGCAGAACAGTTCGACCGGGTCGTGGGAGCATACCAAAGCATCCCGACAAGCACACTAGGCTTTTCGATTCAGAGCCCCCGATATGGGATGTTGAAGGACAAACTGGAGGATGGTTCTTTTCAAGTTACCCTATGAATAGATAATCCATGATAACCCCCGTTGAAATGTCCATCCGGTGCCTGGAATGTTTAGATCCCAAATCGGACAAGGACCGCTGGTTACACCGATCTGCCGGTCCGGATTGCCCCGCTTTTCCCGCATCCGGTTCTTGGCTCCTCCGGCCCATGGTGCCGATCCTCGCGAGTCTTCCACGTAAACTGCGTGAAGTCGTCGCCCCTTGGGAGTAATAAAAGTAAACCGGGCCCTACCGGGTTCGTTACGTCGCGCCGATCCTCCCATATATCGGATCTTCGTCGCCTTGATAGTCTATCGGGTAATACTACTGCGAATGGACAACCCATATGCAAACCTTAGCCTTGACGATTGTGAGTCGGAGCGCTGAGTATCCGGGTGGTGATTATACGCCCTGAATTCTACATGCCCCGATGAAACTCCAAGATACGAAGTCATGGCAATGAATGGACCAACACGGTCACGCGATGGCGGGGGATGGCACCCGGCGATGCGGGGCCATCCGATCCGGTTATGGTCGGAACTTGGGCAGCTGTGGAACCTGGCTTACAAAGACGAAACACCACGTTCCTTCAGCGTCCCAACCTCAAATGATATAGAGCTTTATATAGAGCCACTTTCCTCCCAGAATCTGACCACCACACGAGAATCAATTAAACTCTACATCATGGATGCTACTGGATTTACTTACCCATCCCCTTTGACAGGCTACGAGAATGCCCCTCCTCTGCCCCACGAGAAAGCCGAGGACGGTAAAAGCTTCCAGAACAAACAAACGGGCGTCCTGAGCAAGACCTACGAGAAGTTTCCCACTCCGCTCGACAATAGCAGACGGGGCGGTTTGTAGGTTCCCCTTGAATCTCGGTTTACCGGGTACAGAGTACCCCAGATGTACGCTCCCAACGCTAACCGCCTCAGTGACGTCCACGTTTACCACTACCAGGACAACGCCGCGCGTAAGTCACAGCCGGTTAGGCCGGAACCTCGCTATCTCCATTCACCCACACAAAACTAACACAGCTTCACCAGAGACGGAATACGCCCGCGCTCTTTGGCAGCGCATCCGCCACGAATTCCCGGAGCTGCGCATCTACACTTTCTGGGACAAGCCCCTCGGCCCTCACCCAATCGCCATGTTCGAAGTCAACCTGCTCTCGCCCGCCCAGTTCGGCGCCTTCATCCCCTGGCTTGCGATCTGGCGTGGCCCGCTGTCGGTGCTGGTGCATCCTAATACGACGACTGCGGACGGCGGGGTGGATGAAAACGGCGTGAAGTTTGATGGGGAGAGTGAGTTGCGTGATCATACGCAGAGGGCGATTTGGATGGGTGAGAGGGTGCCGTTGGATGTTGGAAGGATTTGGGGGGCGAAAGTGAAGGCGCAGACGCAGACGCAGACGTAGACGTCGGTGTTGGATGTAGGGAGTCACGAACCGGGGGGGTGAAGTGCCTATTTAACGTTATGTCTTGGCTGGCCGATGAACCGTTGGTGCTTGATCGGGTGATGTTTTATCCGAGAACGGAATCCGCCCGCCCGTCCTCCCAAGCAGCGTCTCATTCATCCATCACGGCAATGCCTTGAACAATCCAGGTGAGAAAGCCAAGTAAATTTGCCATGATGAAATCTGGTTGACGTTTGTTCGGATTAGATTATAGTTGTTAGCTTTTGGCGGTTCCAGTACTTCGTATCATACTTACCCCCTCTTTTGTCTCGAGGCCTAGAAATGGTTTTTTTTTCTCTTTTCCTCCTTTTCTTCTGCTTCTTCTTCGTCTTCTGTTTTCGTCGTTTTTTTTAGACACTCCCTTGAGGGACTGACCAGGACTTTCCAAGAAAAGCTGTGTTCTCATAGGCTCAGCCAAGACGGCCAATCCTGCGGCTTTGAGTTGCGCCGGGGCTGACTCGTGGGCGGAAAAGAGCCAGGGAGCGCGACTGTCAACACGACCCGATAACCCTGACTTCTTGGTTTCTTTCGTCGCTGTCCGGGTCTCGGAGAAGAGGCTTGGGACAAAGTTTTAGGGCCGTTTTGTTTCTATCCGGGGAAATTTTCGTGGTGGAACAGCCCTACAGAGAAATCACTGAACCGTTGTGAGCCAACGGTCATTTCCGGAAGGTCTCAGGTCCGAAAACCGACAAGCGTTCTTCTGCTGTTCGCGATGCATCCCTCAAAAACAGCCTTTCGCTTCGGAACCGAGTCGATTGGCTAGCCCTGTGGGGCTGCTGCAACCCCTTTCAGCTTCTCGGCTAATCATTGGTCAATGCAACCCTAGCAAACCATAATTCCGCTCTGTCAAGCGCGAGGCCGCACTTCAGCTCATGGGATGGGGGTTTTTCCCCAAGGACCACCAATCCACCACAAAAGCGAGCAACGACGCCAAGGCTCGTCCTCGACGGAAAGTGCTGGCAGAAAAGAAAACGCCGGGCCTGCACTCTGCCGCGAAGGCAGCCCTTGGCCCTGGCCATGCCTCTTTGGGAGAGGTCGTTACAACCCTCGTGCTCGGCGTCTCCTTTCCGAGCGAAGTTTGCACTGCACCGGCCGGCACGTCCTTCCCGTACCCATGGTCCCATGGCATGGCGGGCAAGCCGCCTGGGGGAAAAGACCGAGCGCGTGGCGGACGGGAGGCCCCTCCCACGCACATGGATGGGGGAATTGAATGCGGCTGCTGGATGCCGTTCTCGTTGTTGGCTTTTGAACTTTTTTTCTCCTTTGGCCTCTTCTGCTTCCCGTGACCGTGACATGACGCAGTCTAGTTCGTTGTGAGGCCCGGGTTGACCCCTCCCGAACGACGCTCTCTCCTCGTCTCGTGCTGTTTTTCTGCCTTGTGAAGGCATACACTCGTATTTTTTGGACTCTATTTGCTTTCTCTCGTCTTATCTGAGATGTCCCAAACGCGCTTCTCGGTGGCCGCCGCGGCCCTCGCCGTCGGTTTGGCGATGGCAGAGTCCATCCTATACGTGACGGACATGCCTGCGTACAACGTTTTGGTACTGCTGATCCCCGAACCTTTTCTATGCTCATCCAACAAAGACTAACGAGATATACCCTTCGTCTTCTTAAAAGGCACCGTGTGCGCAGTCGGCTCTGGCTTACAACATCCAATACCTGACCGGCGACGCATGCCCCGAAGCGGTCTCCGAGCTCCAGTCCTGCGTGTGCACGAAGAATAACAACTTCCGCTCCGTCTCCTCGGGGATCTCCCAGTCGATCAGCTATGGGTGCGGATCAACGGCCAGTGATGACCATTCATCAGCACAGAGTGTACGGATATCTTGCGCGAAGAGTAATAGGCTGAGAAACTTGTGTTGACTTTCTCCCAGGTCTTGACCGCGTACTGCGACCCATCGAAGACCGTTAAATTTGCGACCCCCACCGCCGTTAGCGTCTTTATCACAGACATTCCCGAGTTTGACTACCTTGCGCCATGCGCCAAGAGCGCTCTGGGATATGCAGTCGAGTAAGTTGGCCGAGTCCCCGATCCTTAGCACAAGCACTGGATTACTGACAGGAACAGAACGATGGTAAAATCTCCTCCTCTAAACGGCCGCACCCGGTGTCTGTTCGAGCCTACTAACTGCGATTAGACGTATGAACTCTGTCAGTCGGACGCGCCGGCCCTAGCGAGCTGCGCCTGCAACAAGAACCAGAACTCGCTCGTTGTCAGCCAGATTATCAACTCATCGGTCAAGTATTCGTGCTCCGGGCACTTGGCAGATGTCACGTCTGCCCAGGAGATGTTCTCCGCCTACTGTGCCATGAACGACGGCACGACCAAGTTTCCAACGCCCTCGGACCCTCCTGGAGATAGTATGTAGAACTACCTAGACTGGAGTTTGGGGCAAGCCGAACTAACCGATGCAGTGACATACTACATCACGGATCTACCGGGGTTCAGCTCACTCGCCCCTTGTGCGGCTACTGGTTTGGGATATGCCATCCAGTCTGTAAGTCAATACCTGTCGAAGCCCTTTGCCCCTCGGAGTTCGCGTCTCCTGCTTCACGATGACAGCTGTTGACCACCACAAATAGCAACTATACGAGCTTTGCCCCGACGGCCCACAGGCGCTCGCTTCGTGCGTGTGTCTCAAGGAGAGCATGACCAACGAGGTTCTCAAGGCCATCACCTCGTCTGTCAAGTACGAGTGCGAGTCGACGGCGACTGAAGATGTCGCATCTGCGATTTCTGTGAGTATTTCCCAGGCCCAAGATAGACATACACGTGCGGAATCAGGGGGACTAATAATACGATAGCTTTACGACTATTATTGCAGCGCCGCTGCGGCCGAGGTCACCCCTCCTGGCGTCCACAACTCCGTCGGGCAGTCGCACCCGGCAAGCCGTACCTCCGGTGGCCCTAAACAGACCGGTACTGGTGGAGCCCACAACGGGAATGGAAGTGGCTCAGGTGACGGGAATGGGTCGTCAGATGGCTTCAGCAACGGCAATGACAAGCAGTCCAGTGGGCCTAGCACCGGGGTGATTGTGGGCGCGGTGGTTGCTGTCATCCTCGGCCTGGCCATCATCGGAGCGATCATTTTCTTTGTCATCAGAGCTCGGAGGAACCGGCCGGGCTCGGTGCGGATCCCGGAAAATGACCCGTCTGTCCCACTTGGCCCCTACGGAAAGGCCGAGCTGGCGAGCGATTCCATTGCCGCTCCGGTGCACCCTTCGAGCCCGTCCCCGAGCACCCTCAAGCCCGGCGCCATCCCCACTCGTGCCGATAACATCTCTCCTGTATCCGCCACCACGGGCGCCTTCACCCCGCCACCAAACCAGGCCGAACTGAGCGGTCAAGCAGCGTTCTACCCACCCATGCCCAACCGGCCCGAGCTACACAACCAGGCAACAGGCAGTCCGTCCCTAGTGTCTCCAGGATCTGACGTCCACGGCCAGCCCGGACAACCGCCCCAACACGCCGCGTTTGCTGCTCCGCCGAACCCCAACGCCCCTGAGCTCTACGGCCAGGGTGCTCCCGCCTCCCACCGACCCGAACTTCAAGGCCAGGGCGCCATGTACGCAAACACGCCAGCGAACATGTCGGAGCTTCAAGGCCAAGGGACGCAATACCATAACGCGAACCCCAACCGGCCAGAGCTCGCCGGGCAGTACAACTACCCGCCACAACAGTCTCCTTACACACAACAACAACAACAATCGCCACCACCACAATATCAACAGGCATATTCTCCACAACACTCACCGTATAACTCACAGTCACCCTACGACCCTCCCGTATCACCGCCTCAACAACAAATGCATGGCGGTCACCCGCAGCAGCAGCAACAGCAGCAGTCGACGTATCCGCAGTCATCGTGGCAGGCGGGGCCGGTGCCGGATTTACATGACCTTTAACTAGACGTTACCGCAGTTGTGATGTTTGTCTCGCATATTTACCATCTGGGGCATGTTATACACCCTGTTGGGTTAGTTAATGAGTTGTTTGGTGTAAGGAACCGGGTATGGTTCACACACCTGGGCGGGTTGTTCCTTTACACTCTTGAGCATGCATGTATCTGTGGTCCATCTTGAGTATGTGAAACTGGGTAATAATAGACACGGAAAGGCGGCGTGGCGTTTTTATGGACATGGTCTCTGTAGGTAGCTTGGTGTGTGGCTGGATGTACATAAGTAAAATCCCCAGTTCTGGGAAGATTGGTTTGAATTCTGTCCGCGTTGTTTGCCTGCCCCATTTGGAGATGCGGGTCGGGCTTATAGCACGTACATCGGCAAGTTGAGTTGTTCATAGTGCCACCTTTCTGGTGTTAGTTAGGTCTAGACCCGAGAAGACCCCCGACATTCTTGTAACGTAGAAACCGTTTCGCGGTGATTGTGGAAGAAATAAGATGTACCATATGCTACATGTCTACTCTCTTACTCGTAAAACAATGAAAAAGAAAGTAAACAACGAAACTTGACTCCATTCGCAAGTGGGCCCCAGGCAACCCATGTGCAGCGCACTGACCACTGTCTCTGCTCCACAAAAAACACTGGCCCAATCATCGTGTTCATTGGCAAACCGCACGCGCTCGGGCTCGCGCGGCAGGCTGGAGCAGCTCCGGCCCCCTGCCGACCGAAAACAGTGCCTGCAAAGCAAGCTTTCTTTTCTGCCAACCTTGTGACAGCAAACCCGCATCCCCAACCATCACACACCGTCCCGCCCATTTCATTCCCCGGAATCGCATCGGTTTCCATCGCCCTGTCGACTTCCGCACGCGCATCGATCGTCATCGCATCCGTTTTGTTTTCAGTCGCCATTGACATTGACATCGATCGATCAGAAGATCGTTCCCGTTCCGCCTTATGCACTGAAGATCCAGAACTTCCGTTCCGGGGACCCCCGTGACCGCGACCGACAAGATGGCGGCGGCAGAGGTCGACCTCGCCTACCTCTCCGCGCACGCTGGCGTCCCGGAAGCCGACCTGGACACTGTTGTGGCCACGCCGACGGTGGAGCTCGTGGCGTCGGTGCTGGGCGCGATCGTCATCAAGCTGCGCGACCTGGAGAATGAAAAGTTCCAGTTGAACGTTGAGCTCGAGGCGGCGTACCGGAGCGCTGAGTCGAGGTGTGAGCAGTTTAAGGGCACCACCGATAAGGCCCTCAAGGATGTGGAGGAGGTTCGGCAGAAACTACAGAATGAGGGTATGTTGAACGTGTTTTGGTTGCCTTCGCCGCTTGGCGGCCTCTAGCGCATGTGTTTTTTTGGCGCTGACGGATTCCTTCACCAATGCAGAAACTGCCCGACGGTCACTTGAGAACGAGCTTCAGACGCTTAAGTCATCTGGGACGACATCGCTGTCAGAAATCGAAACCCTCCGAGCGCGTATCGCCTCCCTCGAGACTTCCAATCGCGAAACCCTCGCGATTGTCGACTCGAAAACGACCGCGAATGCGAGCCTCGCCGAAGAGCTGCAGAAGCAGCACCAAAAGATTCTGAAGTTGAACCAGGATATCACGGCGGCCAACCAGGCCGTTCAGAGTGCCCAGACCGCGGCGAACTCGGCAAAATATCGGGAAGAGTCGGTCAAGCAGGAGTTGGAACTCGCCAAGAGAAACAACGATTGGTTTGATGCCGAGCTTAAGACTAAGACCGCCGAGAGCCTCAAGATCCGAAAGGAGAAGGGCGCTCGTATCGCCGAGCTCCAACGACAAAATGAGGATGCTCTCTCGAACATCGAGTCGCTGACCCGGACCGAGCAGCAACTACGCAGGCGACTGGACGAAGCACAGTCGAAAGCGGAGGATGCCCTCACCAAGGTGCAGCAGTTGCAGGAATCTGCGGCCCGCGCTGAGGAGAGTTTCAGGCAGGAACTTGAGTCGTCGAGGCGTCTTGTTGAGTTGAAAGACCAGCAGTCACAGACACACCGTAACCGTCTCAAGGAAGTGGAGCTCCGACTCGAACAGGTCAAGGACGATAACACCGAGGAGATACGTCGTGTGCGGCGCGAGTTGGAGAAAGAGAAGGAGGAACACGCGCAAACAGAGCAACAGATTCAGGAGCTTCAATCCGAGGCCGACCGCCTCAAGGCTATCGTCGACTCTCACACCGGAGCACCGGGATCCACGCCACAGACGCCGAGGGCTAACGGCGCGTACATTGCCCGTCCCTCTTCACCATTTGGCACCCCGGCCTCAATCCGTGGTAAGGCGTCGTTCCGAGCCACGGAAACCCTCGAGGAACTTCTCAAGGTCAAGGCACAGCTCAACGGCGAGCAGCGCCGCAGCCAGAAGCTGCAGGAGGAGCTCGACGATGCTCTCGGCATCTGGGAGGCCAAGATGCCCGAGTATGAGGAGACTCTGGCTGAGAACGAACGCCTGCGCCACGAGTCCACTCACATGTCGGAGCTTGCGGAGCAATCTTACGAGCAACGGGATGCTGCCGTCAAGGCCGCGCGCAAAGCCGAAGGTTCCGCTGCAGCTGCGCAAGCTGAGGTCAAGATCTTGCAAGCTCAGCTACGTGACCTCAGCACTCAAATCCATGTCCTCATCTTCAATATCCACGCTCGGGAGAAGGGAATGGACCAGCTGACCGAGGAAGAGACTGCCCAATTTGAGCGCCTTCAGCGCGGTGAGGTTGCCGAGAATGCGTTGGACGACATGTCTGACACCCATCGCTTCATCACCGAACGGTTCACGGCCTACAAGGATGTCTTCGAACTACAGCAGAAGAACGAGGAGTTGCTCAAGGTCACCCGCGAGTTGGCCACCAAGATGGAGAATGAGGAGGCCCTGGCCGCCAAACAGCAAGCGGCCCAGGATCACGAAGAGGTCCAGGAACTCCGCGGCACGGTTGGCGTGCTCCAGGATGAAGTCCAGTCCATCACGGTCCGGATGAGGAGCTACATGACAGAGCGTGACATGTTCCGTCGCATGCTCCAGCAGAAGGCGACACCAGCTGAAATCCAACAAGTCCTTGGCGTTCCCCGGGAAGATGGCCAACGCGAAGTGCTCGCTAGTATTGAGCAACCCTCCGACGAGGCAAACCTGACTGTGGCTCTGAGAGAACTACAGGCCCAATTCGACTCGTACCGTAACGACCAATCGACGGACCGGAACGCCATGAAGGACCAAATCGACAAGCTATCCACCGAGAAGGGTTCTCTCCAGAGCGAAGTCTCCCGCCTCTCCAGTCAACTTACCCTTTCCACCGAGCGCTACCACATGCTGGAATCGAACTTCAAGGCGCTCCAAAACGAGAAGCAGGAGCTACAGAAGCGCAACCAGTCGCTCTCCGAGTCTGCTGCTAAGCAAGATATGCGCACTCAACAAGCGGCCGAAGATCTTGTGGAAGCCCGCGGCTTGGTGGAGAGCCTGCGCAGCGAGAGTGCGAACCTGCGGGCCGAGAAGACCCTCTGGAAGACGATCCAAGAGCGTCTCAGCCAGGACAACGAAAACCTTGCCCAGGAGAAGACTAGGCTAAACGGTCTCCTGTCCGGCCAACAGTCGCTTCTGAACGAGCGTGAGCTGTCCGAGTCTGAGACGAAGCGCAGGTTGCAGGCCCAGATCGATTCTTTGGACGGCGAGCTCAGCACGACCAAGAGGAAGCTCTCTGAGGAAGTCGAGGAGGGTAAAAAGATTCAGCTGCGGAAGGAATTCGACGCACAGCAGTTCCAGAAGCGGATTGACGAACTGACCTCGATGATTGGCCAGATCAAAGAGGAGAATGTGCAGGTTAAGACCACCCGCGACCACCTCCAGGCACGCGTTGGCGAGCTGGAAATCGAGCTTCGCAACGCTCAGGATCGCGCCGAACGCCTTCGGCCGCTGCCAACTCCCAGGCCAGGGACTCTTAACGATCAGACCATCACCGATCATGAATCGAAGGCCCGGATCGAGGAACTTGAGAACGAAGTTCAGGAACTCAAGAATAACCTTGACCTGGTCAATGTCCAGCTCGAGAACGCCAAGCAGCAAGCCGAGCAATTCAAGCAGCTCAGCAAGGATATGGAGGAGGAGCTTTCGAGCCTCAACGAAACCCACGACCAGTACCGGGATGAGATGGACGCGTCCCTCGAGGCGAAGACCAGTGCTTCCAACGACCTCCAAAAACGTGTCGAGGCGCTCACGGCCGAGCTCTCGGGCTTGACCAACGAACTCAACCTGCTTCGGGATTCACAAGGCGATGTCGTCAGGAAATACGAAGAGAAGGAGCGGATGCTCAATGGCGAAATCAGCCGTCTCAAGGACGAAGAGGAGCGATACAAGGAAACTGCGCGGTTCCACCAACAGGACCTGCGCTCTCAGGCCGAAATCGCCACCAAGGCGCAGCAAGACTACGAGGAAGAACTGGTCAAGCATGCCGAGGCCGCCAAACTCCTCCAGCACATTCGTGCCGAGCACAACCAACTCCGGACTCAATCGGCCGCCTGGAGAGCCGAGGCCGAGTCGGCAAAGCTTTCTCTGGCGCAGAGCGAACAGTCCTGGGAAGAACGCCGACAACAGCTCGAACAGGAAGTGGCCGAAGTCAAGACCAGGCGCGAGGATGTCGCGGCGCAAAACAAGCTACTCCACCAACAGCTCGACAGCGTCACGTCTCAGATCGCTGCGCTGCAACAAAATCGCGCGCAGCCAGATGGAGAAGGGGTACCGCCTGCGCTTGCGGACGCCGCTGCCGAGGGTCTCCGCGAACTCAACCACTACCTGCGCCGGGAGAAGGAGATTCTCGAGGTTCAGTACGATATCAAAGTCCAGGAAGCCAAGCGCTTGCAGCAGCAGCTTGAATACTCGCAATCGCAGCTTGACGAAGCTCGTCTTAAGCTCGACCAGGAACGCCGGGCGCATGCCGACAGCTCCAGGAGTTCTCTTACCCACAAGGAACTCATGGAGAAGCTCAACGAGCTCAACCTCATCCGCGAGAGCAACGTCACACTCCGCAATGAGAACCAACGCGCCCAGGCTCAGCTGGAGAAGAAATCCGACAAGATTGCCGAGCTCGAGACCAAGATCCAGCCCCTCGAGGCGCGCATCTCGGAACTTGAGCTCGACAAGGGCTTCAAGGAGCAGGAGGTCCGGCAGCTCCAGGAGGCTCGCGAAGGCTTGCAGAAGAGGATTGAGTCGATTCTCAGCAAGTATGGTCAGGCTGACCCTCAAGAGGCGGAACAGCTCAAGGAGACCATCGCGGCTTTGGAGGGCGAGCGGGATGCTCTCAAGGCGTCGGAGGAGGCGTTGCAGCAGAAGGTGAAGGAGGCGGAGGAGACGTTGGAGACCAAGACAAACGAGTGGAAGGCGACTAAGGAACGGTTGGGTGAGGATTTCAAGGGGCGATTTAGGGGTATGAAGACGCAGCGCGACGAGGCCAACGCGGCGAAGATCGCACTCCAGACCGAAGTCGACTCTGTCAATGGGCGACTAGCTGGTGTTGAAAAGGAGCTGGAGGCTGCTAAGCACGAGCTGGGCGGTCTTGCGGAGAAAAACAAGGCCCTCGAGCAACAGGCTCAACAAGCCCAACAAGCTGCTGCTACCCAGCAGCCCGCTGTGGCGGCTCCTCCTCCAGCTACGCAAACACCTGCCGCAGCGGCTGATCCTGGGCTTGTCGCGGAACTCAACCAACAGCTCGACAGTCTCAAGCAGGATTTGGAGGCCGTCACGTCGCAGAAGGCCGAAGCTGAGGCCCAAGTCGAGCAGCTCAAGGGTGAACTGGCGACGGCTGTTGCCGCGCGTGATCAGGCCCTGGCGCAGGCGGCTTCGGCAGCGGCGAACGGTAGTGAGGTTGCCATGAGCGATGCTGCTCCCGTACCGTCCCAGCCCCCGGCCGGTCTCTCGGACGAGGAGCGCAAGGCGTTGGAAGAGAAGGTTGCGACTGCCGAGGCTAGGGCGGCCGAGTTCGAAACCAAAGCCAAGGAACTCGAGGACAACATCGACAGCGTCGTCAAGCAGCGGTCTGACAAGATGAAGAACGCGCTAAACAAGAAGCTTGCCGACTCGAAGGAGGCGATGGAGAAGCAGGCTCAGGAGCAACGGGCCAAGGTCCAAGAGGAGTTCGATCTCAAGCTGCAGCAAGAGCTGGCCATCATCAAGGCCGAGCATCAGGCTTCGGCACCCAAGAACGGCGTGCCTTCGACTCCGGCGAAGCCAGCTCCCGAGACACCGATCCCACCAAAGACTCCGGGCGTCGACCTGAGCAACATCAGCGATGCGCAAGCCCGAGACCTCGTTGCGAACAACCAGACCGTCTCGAACATTGTGAGGGCCAACCTGAAGCGGATGATTGCCATCGAGACGAAGAAGGTCAAGGAAGAAGTCGAGGCGTCGACCAAGACCGAGTACGAACAAAAGATCACCAGCGCCAAGGAATTGGCCGAGAAGAAATCGGCGCTCCGCATCAACATGCTCGATCGGCAGGCCAAGACCTCGCAGGTCAAGCTTGCCGTTGTTGAGACAGCGGCTAAGGAAACACCGCAGAAACCTGTCGTCGAAGTCTGGGCCATCGCTAAGGATGCGAAGCCACCTACCCCAGCGCCTACTCCGGCTCCCGCGCAAACACCTACTGCAGCAGTGGCTAATGTTTCCGCTGGTGCTGCGACTCCTCCTGCTGTGTCCTCGCCAGCCCCTCCCGCGAACCAAGCTACTCCAGGTATGTATTCCCTTGCGAAAGCATATTCAACACCACCGCACACGCACACGTCAAAAGATACTAACAACCATCCAGCCGCAGCACCCCCAACAAAGGAAGAACCCAAACCCGCAACCCCCGTTCCCGCTCCCGCGCCCGCGGCTCAAAGCAACCTTCCTCAACCCGCCAAACCAGCCACCGGCATCCCACCGCCGGTCGTGAACAACCCCTTCGGCGCACCTCCCACAGCTGCAACCAGCAGCCTTCCACAACCTACCCCAGCCGGCCAGCCAGCACAGCAACAGCAACAAGGCGGCCAGAACCAAGGCCAAGGCCAACAACCACGGGGTATCCCCGTCCCCTCCACACGCGGCGGTGGAGGCGGCGGCCGTGGTGCTGCACGAGGCGTATACCAGGCTGGACCCGGCCGTGGCGGTCAAGGACAGCGCGGACGTGGTGGGTTTGGTCGTGGTGGCGGTGGCGGTGGTGGTGGGTTGAACCCTGGTGCTGGGGAGTTTAATCCTGGTGGTGGGCCTGCTGCTGGGGCTGCTGGGCATAAACGGCCGAGGGATGGGGATGGGCTTGGTGAAGGGGGGAGAGGGGGGAAGAGGGTTAGGGGTGGTGGTGGAGGAGGAGGTCCTGGTGCAGGTGTAGGTGGTGGTGGTGGTGGGGGACAATGAGGGTTTGTAGGTTGATGGTTGGTTGTTTGAGTGAGGGCACGGGTAATGTTTATGTGTAAGAGGGTCGTTGAGATGCAGTCGGTTGGTATGAAGTGGAAGTCCTCGGAAGGAAATGAGAGAAATACCATCCATACATCGACTGATATCAACCGGATCAAGGGATCAACCAGATGTATCAACGGAAGACGGACGTGACAGACAAACAAAGAAACGGGGGGACAAAACAGACAGGAAAACAGAAGGATGGGCAAGCAAACACACAAGAACGAATGAATGGTCACCCTTTCTTTATTTATTAAAGACGGACGAGACAAGTTGGACCTTGAACACGGGCTGGCTGATTTCCTTTGCTGTATTCATCATCGAGTTGTGGTTGTTTGGCGCATCATGTTCTTTTGTATCATTTATTTTACCCTGTAACGGGGTATGTCAATGGGGGCGTAGGGAATAGGGTTTATTTTGTCGATTTATCTCGGTGAACTTCGGCTTTTGTTCTTTTTCATGTTGTTTTATGTGTGAAACAAGTTTCGTTTCCTCAAGGCTTGTTAGGTCATGATGCTGTATGCCCATTTAATATTGGATCTACAATGGGAAGAGAGTCCGCATGACCTTCATTATCTACAGCGTGCCTGTTAATTTGGTGGGCCTCAAAGAGGGAATATAGAAAAGGATATCTGTTTCTAACAACAACAGTTGATGTATGGGAACTGTGGCTTACTTCTTTCCTGTTCTTGTGGTACACCAAAATATAGTTATATACTGTACTCAACTTTAATGTGTCCGATCACATTGAAACTTATGTTCACCCCGGCTAGGGCGTTGAGATCGCCGTGGTGTTTATTGTTGGTTTGATGGCTTGTCCGTTTTGCTACCGTTGGCTTAAGAAGTTGCATATTTGAAGGGGGTATATTAATTTTACGAGAAGCATTTGCGAGCTATCGAGTTATATGAACCCAACATCAAGATCGTGATAATACAGCAGATCCAAGTTGGAACCTTTTCAACATTCTGGTCTACAGGGCCACCCTGATCTCGTGGGGAAGTTTTGAGCTTTATTTTTCACTCATTGTTTGGTCACGGACAGACATAACTACGATGAACTTGGAGAAACTTAGAAAGTGGCTTTTGCACGGTCCCCTTTCCAGCCTATTGACTACAAGTATTTCCCTATCTCTAATGTAAACAATGATCGGTACTTTGAAGTTAAACGCTGTCAATGGGTCTTGGGCAGAAACATTCCCCCCCTTCATCCTCGCTATTCTGTAAACAACCCCTAAAGACTCTAGCGCCAAACAGCAATATCGGATATCACGAGGCCTCCTTCGGACTTCATGAAGCACATCAAACCGATCCGCTGGGCCGTTCGTTCGTCAACCAAGGAGGCGTTCCCGTTGACGAACGTACCCACGTCAATCCTCCACAGACCATTCGCGGCGTCGTACCGCTAACCTAGCTTCCTGGCCATGTACAGTACATCCACATCAGATACCCGTTCCAGAAAACCAAGCCATCGACAAACAACCTCACTGCCGTCGAAAGGGCGGAGATTAGCTCCCCCGCCTCCATCTCCGCCTCCGTTTCGGTAGCCCCGGACGGGGTAAAAACCAGTTGTTTAGCGAGAAGTTGTTTGCGATCGACCGAGTGAGGTCGGTAGTTAGTTACGAAGTTTCGGCTGGGGTGTACGGGGCCGTACGATGGGATTCGGACACAGCCACAATTCATTCGTCATGAGCCATACACGTGTGGTTTAATTCCTCCTAGCTCACCTTGTAAGGCTGTTAGTACAAGAGCTACTCGGTGTACGCCCGGCGCTACCAAGCGAGCCCGCAGCATTGGCGTAGGAGCAGGTTGCATGACACTAAGACCCTCGTATGCTTTCGATCGAGCCAGTCCGGGCCAGTCGATCGGGTCGACCAGCGCCCGTTTCATTTCCCCGGGAGTAGGAATGGGACTGGGCATCGCAGCTGCGTTCAACCCAAGACACTGAAACATTGATTGAACGTTGGTAGATTCGTTTTGTTTTTTTCTTTCTGTTTCTTGTGCCTTTCTTGTGTGTGGACACACTTTTCGCGTGGGTGGAGGACGTTAAAGGATCAAACCCAACTTCCCTTTTGGGAAAGGCCATTGTATGGAGGAACAGACGCGGCCGCGATGAATTGGGCGATTTCAGCCGAACGGAGAGCACAGCCCCAACGCCCACCAGGCCCCCGATTTCCGAGATGGATTTCCTGTCCCGCTGGGATTCCATCCTTGGATGAATAATGTCTATGTCATTGGTGTGCATATGGGCTGCTGGCATTTGTGTCCTGCAGACCAGACCGCTTCATGTGTGCGACGTGAGATGGCGGGTGGGCTTGATCAGGTGTGTGGGAGGGTGGGCAAGGCAGAAGAGTCACTCGCCGGCAAGCAGAATATAGGAGGTCACGTCACAAACTTTCTAAGCGTCCCACAGGAGCGGGCTGGGTTGCACGGCAGTCCCCGCAGCAGCCCTGTGGCCCGTTGTCCCGGGGCGGTTCGGCGACAGCGAGACGGGCTGATGTCACGGCGATCACCCTTCCTCCACTCTCCGCGTATGTTGAGGCGAAAGAAGATATCGATCACAACCCGTCAATGGAGAAGACGGGTGGCCCCGTTTGAGTGGACTTGCGTATCAGCGGGCTTTCGTGAACAGAACCCAGCCATACTTTGTAACGACCCCGTGGAAGGGGGGTGCCTCGATATGGGCAAAGGAGAGCCAAGTGTCACCTCCTGCAAATTATCGGAAGGAGATCCAGCCCCGGCCTTGTGGGACTTCAACGACGAGTGACACTCACAAGTTCTTTACAGGCGGGCACTAGAGCGATTGGGTGCTTACTGCTAAACGCCATGATCCGCCTTACCGGGCCAATCCTCCCGCCGTGGGTGGTCCCACGCTTTGGGTCCTCGAAAGGAATTCAACACGAGGAAACCAGAAAATCGAGTGTTACCCTTCTATTTCCCCGAGAAGTTCGTAACAGCGCCCTCGGTGGCTGGCTTTGGGACTAGTTGCGTTGAGCAGAGCGAGGTATTTTGCCTAGAAAATATCAAGCAAGCAGTGAGCTGGGAGCATGCGGAGACGCAAGATGACCTGTGATACTTTGGCTTGCTTGGCTTGTTGTTAGAATCGTAGGGATGATATCAGGGCTGTTGCTGGGCATGGTGGGATAGCTTGCTTGTGCGGAGACTGCCATCGAACAATGGCTGTTATCGCCGTCGGAAATACCGTTGTGGGTCGGGGGACTATGTAGTGGAAAGCGATCTTCCAACCCGTGGACGTTCTGCTCGGAAGGATCACGGCCAAGCCCCGCTGGTGCGTGGAAAGCTGGCGGGGTCAAATTGGCTGGACACAGAGTGTCTCAGTCCTTTGCAGGGCTTCGAGTTTAGCGAGGGCAACGCCCAGTCTTCGCCAGCGAGTTGCTAGGTGGGAATTCCATGATAGTACGGAGTCCATAGTCACCGAAAAGTGTCCGAGGAGGAGCGGAGGTTACGGAGACTCGGCCAAGGCCCTTTGGCCGAGATCAGCGATGATGGACAAAATTCATGATTTCGCAGGGCCATGGACCCCACGGTACCGTCGACATCTGGAGACATCTGGGCAGAGTGTACTCATGTTAAGGTAGTTAGGTAGGTAGTCCCAGGTTTGCCCCTTCCCCGCGAATGGTTGAGGGTTCCAATGGTCGTGCCACGGTGACAGGCTAACGCCATGGGGTATCAACCGTGCGAGAAATGGGCCCATTGTCTGCGAATGTTGTGTTCATATTTTGTACTCGGAGAAGGCTACCTTGACGCCGAGACTGAATTGTTGCCGTATTCGGACCTTTTCTGCTGCCCAAGCAAGCGCGAGGGCGACGGTCGCCTTCCTTTTGGGGCTACCGGCGCGCATGATTCACAGGCGGAAACTTCTGTGGAGGGAAGGGACGACGGTGGAAGCCCCAAGATGGAAAATAATGAGAGGGCACACCCCTCCCGCAGGGTATTTGTCAACCGGTGCCGGAAGCTCACCAATCCAAAGGGTTTATTTTTCGATGTCGTTGCTCCAGCGCGCTGTAACCCCTTGGGTGGTGTTTGGAGCCAGGTGAGGTCGGACGAAGAGGGACCTTGCAGAGAAGCGAGAGGCAGACCCAAGAGCCAAGCTTTCATGACTCCAGGAACCGAGTGGTGTGGCATCTACAACCCCCTGTCGATGCCCCACTCCGCTCCTTTTTGCGGGCGGCCCCCGCGACTGCACCCAAAACAGGCGGGAATTGCTCTGGTACGCTCTGGCGGGCTGCGCCGCAACGCCAAACCACTCCCTGCTTGTTTCCTGTCCGTGGCAATCTTGCATGTTGACAACGTCCGTTTCCTCTCGCACCTTGCACACCGTCCGGCCGAACCCCTGGTACCCCAAACTTCCCGTTAGAGGTGGGGTTTCTGTTCAAAATGCACCTTTTCGGCAAAAGCCCGCTTGCGACTTTGCTTCTAACCTGCTGCAGGCGCTCGGTTGAAAGTGCCCGCAGGAGTCGGGGCACTGAGTTTTTGCGATTTCCGTTGAGCGGGCCTCGGTGGACGCGCTCGATCGCCGAGCTCTGCGACTCGTCGAGATACGGGCTCGGGACGGGACGGGCGCTTGAGGAAGCGGCAAAGCCCCACTTTTGTTTGCCGAGCGTGCTCCTAAACGTTCGACTCCTTCGCAGAGCGCGCATGACGGATGGCAAGCAAGCGCATTCAAAGTCCTAACAAACATTTCTTGTTTCGCGGTAGGATCCTTCTGATCTGATGAATTGATAATTCATTGTGTCGCACAACGCGTGTTTTGTGGCACCCGTCTAGCCGCGGCCTGCCCTCTCGCTCCGCGCTAATTAGACGCGCCAGGTTCTTTACCGCGCCAACGATCTTCACCCTTCGGGCGGCCAATTTATTAGCCGCCGATGACAAATTACTGCCTCATTCTCCATTCCCATTAACCGTCCTCACTGATCGTTGTCATGTGTGTGTGTGTGTGA